GAAATAATTAACTTTTCCTACATTTTAGTTAATCTCACAGAATTTGATATTAACATAAACATTCGTTAAAAAATACAACAACAATATTATCGATGGCATTAATTTTGAGTTTTAAGTCCAATAGTTTGTATATACAGTCAAATCTATATGCTAATATCGAGGTTTATATCATTGTTAAAATGAAAGACAAAGCGACCAATATGGCAATAATTTTAAAATTCCATGAATAGTGAAACTTTATAATTGGAAACATCAACACCCCAACATTTTTATTTTAAAATAATATTCAGAGAGCGCACTTGGTCGGCACTTATAACAATTGAATATGACATTTTTTACAATATATCTATTTTTATTTATATTTATCTATTTTCATATTATTTTTAATTCAATATAAGTTTGTATTAGCTTTATTATAAATGATCTGAACATATGGATAATTATAATCATGTACAATTGTTATTATATTTATAATTCTAATAAACTACTTGCAGTAAAGCTGTTGACACATTACAGTCTGACTCTAATTTAGGAACGATTCGAGGTCTTTAAATTATAAAAACTGAAATACGGAATTTATCGGAAACTGTCATTACAATTTATCTGAACTTTACGATATAACATTGACTAATTTCCCTGATTTTTATTTTTCGAAAACGAGCCAAGATACGAAAATATCTTAAGAGTCAAAAAAGTTGTGCCTTTAGTGGCGTATTCAAAGTAAATAATAAAAATTGCAAAACAATTAGTGGCGTAGAAGTCTTTGACAATATTGTTCGTTTAATCTAGTTGAAGCAAAATTATCATGAAATAAAAAAAAAATGGATATTATTGAAGTTTTTGTAAAATTGCCGTTTTGTAAAGAATCTGTTTAATACCCCGTATTTTGAATACTAAGCATTTCCGTTCGGCTCAGTTTATATGATTTTTTTTCCATTTATTTTAGATAACGATTCTCCAGCCCAGCATTGACATGTTTTTTGAATCGCCCGTGATTTTCTCTACCAGAATTAATGCTAGAAATTATACAGGGTGGCAAACAAGCGTGAAAAATATTGCAAGCTTTACCCGTTTTTTTTTTATTTGTTGAATACTTTTTCACCGAATTAATATAAAGTGGTGGACAGTCATTCAATATTTTTTAAATAAAAAACTGTAACTCATAAACGACTGAACTCTGCATACACTTTCAATTTCCCGACACCTTGTATCAATTCAAAATCCATTTTAAAGTGAATTAACACTTCGATAAAATATAGCCGGCGGATGACGGGTCCCGGAAAATCAAATTCCGGAACGACCTCTTATACAATCACTTGTCGGTATCAAAAATATTCCATTATTCCAAAATATGGTTTAAAAGTTTTAATTCTCTTCAATTTGCAGCCCAATTAATTATTTTTAAAACGCTGTCGCATACGAGTGGACAAAAATTTAGTTTTAGGACTACAAATGACAAAGCCGATGGCAACAATACGTGTACTCGATGCCACGGCCATAAACGTATTGGAAATCGATTTTCGTACACAATAACTCTGGCAATAACAAAAGCGCTTACACGATGAAAGTAGTTTTCATTTACCGTTCAATGTTAATTAAATTTTCCTTCAACTATAATCATTTGATTAAGTCCTCTGGCTGGAATTGCTTATCTTATAAAAGTGGAAAGAAAAAATTTCTGGATTTGCGAGTAACGTAACTTTAATGTTTAAGAATAAAATTTAATACTCTGAGCAACATAAGAATAGCTTCTGAACACTATACAATTAAAATCACAGGAGTTTATTAGTACGATTTGAATTTCCTCATAAGAGTGAAGAATATGCACAGTGCACCCAACTACAATCAGATTTACACAGGCTTGTGCTTTGCTTGAACATTGAAAGCATTCAGCATAAGTACATTTTACAATAATATAGAGATTTATGTTTACTAAATAACATACCGATTATACTACATGTTTTTCGTTGCTAGAATCGTTTCAAATGTACTTCACATTACGACATTGTAAATTTGTTCGGTGAATGATTTTCTGAACTGAAAGGCAAGGCAAGGCAAGGTATTGAGAATTTATCGTCTTCCAGATCTCTATATCTCATGTCTATATTGGTTTTTCTAGGCTTTACACTGCAAGAAGCTTTCTTCAATTTGTTGGTGATTTTAAGTTCTTCTTAAGAGGGGTGTACCCAGCTACAATTAGATATTTAGAGGCTTATGCTTTGGTTTAATAGTAACAACCCCATATGCAATATAAGCAATAGTCAACAGCAGTCCATTGGAATTTTAACATACTCATAGATCGGAGACTTGGGTGTTGTTTTGGATAGTCAGTTGATTTTAATGCCCCAACTCGCGCATGTGACGTCAAAGTATTTTCAAGTAATTTTATCAAATGTTGACTAACGAATTTTATAATATTTCATTCATCAAACCGCTGTACTCTGTACTTAAGTATCACTTTAGTATGGGTCTGTTATTTGGTTAGCCACTTTATATGTGAACACTTTGTAAACCCGTCGTAACCATAGTGACATACAAGTGTCCCATAACATCTGCCACTCAGGCTGCTCTTGTCCGGACTTCCTGGGCAAAATTTTGATACAAGTTCAAAGTAGAAACAGAAGACCTTTTCTATCGGTTACTACTCGAAGAACAAATTATAATTCCTGTTCAGAACGGCCGGATTGACTGGACTATTTTGTGACTAGAAATATGTTTCCGTACTTAAATCGTTAATTGTTTACTTTTTTCCTCCTTTTTGGTATTTTGTTAGACTGATTGCACATTGTTTTATTATTATTATTATTATTATTGTTACTCTAAATTTTACTACTCTTAATGTGATATTGCTGTGAATTAATGTGTGTACTTTTGTGTACAATTGTTTGTTTGTAGGTTAGCTATTTTATCTTTTTGAATTTTATTGATTCCATTAGTTAGAATTAAGAAAAGTATCCGAAACTACAAATTATACGCGCCAGAGCACGTACAACAAAATGCAGAAGGAATAATGGGTCCTCACGCAGCTAAAAAATTAACATTAACGGCTCAACAGAAGAAGGAATTGGAAATATGAAGAAAAAAAGAAACGAGAAATGCTAAGAAAAAGAAGGGAAGGGAAAGGCATTTTGTCACGAACATCAGTGAACGACCATACAAATAGATGCCCAAATATTATGATCTCATAAATTTACGCTTCAAATATCAAATCATTTATTTATTTATATACACTTTTTAGGAAACTCTTTAAGCTTAGGTTGAGTTATCAACATGGGCGATACGTTAGTGGCACGTCGGTCTACAATAAAAAACCATCAGAACTCTTCGAAGCTATGGGAAACTACGTGCCTTCTCTCAATCCCGTATAAACAAAAATTTTGAACGTCGCGCATCCTTTTAATATTAAATGGAATCCAGCAAAATTAAAATGTAATAAAACCAAAGTTTCTCATAGAACAAATTTAGTTTTTTGAGACAACAAATGGAGATGCGAGTAAATAATAATTTTACTTTTTACAAAAATTCTGGATTCTTCCTGCGTCGGTTTTTGTTGAGTTAAACTTGCAAACGTTTCGCCAATCATCCTGTTGGCTTCTTCAGAGCTTAACGGAAACTAGAAACTTGACCAAACAAAAACCGACGCAAGAGGAATCCGAAAGTTTTGTAAAAAAAATAATAATAGTCAGAGTTAAAGGGGTTGTTATTAATAGTGTTATCCTGATTCTGGAAATGCTGCACAAAAAGGGCCGAGAATACTAGACTAAGAGACTTTTTTAGTTGAACTATGTCTTACGACCCGTTATCGTAAACCCCTCTCGGATACCTCAAAAATAACGATCTAGTAAGAGGGCAAACTTTTCACAGTCAATATATTTTAGGATTAATATTAAGGAAGGTGTCATGATGGATGATATCAAATGCTTTAGTATAATGAAGTATAACTAGAACTCTACCACTATTGTCATCCCGAACTTTAACAACGTCAGAACTGTCACACAAATATAACCTGTTTCTGTAATCTGGTTTGATGTAATATATGAGAGAATTTGTGACTCCTTTACTTATCGAATCACAACTCCGCGATGGCACTGCCTTCTGAGATGTGAGTGATATTCAACTCTTAAAGATGGTTTTCGTTTCCCATTAAGTTTCTCAAAGAAGCTTCCGGAGACTGCGAAACTGTACCCTCCCTCCAACTAAACCGCCTAACATGCTGCTTGCCTTGGTTTCTTCAGAGCGCTGTGTGAAACTGTAAGACCGTGCTCGGAAGAAACAAAAAGCATGTGTCACCAAGACAGAGTCGATACAAGAGAAATCCAGAAAGAGTGTATCTATATTGTAATACACGTGTGCGGCGCTTGAGTTAGCGATTTGTGCAGACTTTATGAAGCTCGCAAATCGCAATATCTTGACTGTCACTTTATTGTTAATATTTTGGCCCAATTTAGTGATGCAATAACCAAAATTATCTGCATCATCCTACTTCTAAATCCTAGTTGATCGGTTCATTGCAAAGTTATTTAGATGTTTAGTCATCTTTCTCGGGCTATTAAATCACTTCAGAGTCCGATTAAAAAAAAAATGCAACAAGAAATGTTTTAATCCAGAAAAAATAGTTTGCTTCAAGACTACGGTAATTATTGGAATTAGTTTACTTGTTTATTAGTTTTTGAATTTACTTTTTGGATATTATTTTTGTTCATCCACAAAACCAAATGTTCCGTTTTTATGACAAAAAAAACTACGAAAAACTTTAAAAATATTAATTAAATTTTACCTATCTTAATAACATACTTGCCCATAAATTAATGCATAATCATAAATTAATCTTAAATTTAATATTGGTAAATATTAACTTAAAATTTACAGTTAGTTCACCAACATTCTCGAAGCAACAAAAACTATCACTCAAAAAAGGTTCTATTTCGGCGGTGCGTTAATTTATGACAACAGGATAGCTATATCTATTTAATAACACTAATCTAATTTCTTGTTTTTAGAGCCAAGACTTAGAGTATGTTTAACGGAGGAATGCGTGCGTACGGGTAAGTTTATACTCACTTTGTTTTTCTAATTAGAATTCAATATCACATCAGCATAATCATCAAAAAAATTCGATTCGTTGTTCAAAAATTTACACTGAATATTAGAATCAAGCATGGTTTTTCAACAAACATTGTTTTTAAAACAGATTTTGGTTTATTGTTGCTTAGAATCCATTTTTAGGTCATTTAAGACACTAAAATTATATCTATGTCTATAGTTTCGACCTTCATTGGGTCATCCTTACAACACTATAAAAACTATAACAAATTAAAATAAATATTAACAAAGAAAATTACCAATAACAATAAAAAAGTTGGTGGTTGAAATAAAATAAACTAAAAAGGACCTTAGTTTGCAGAACAAACAAACTAACAAACCAAAAACAAAAAAAAAAAACTATCTAACATTTGAAAATTGCTATATGCAGTTAGATAAACAAAGAAAATAATACATACAAATGAATAAAATTAAAAATAAAATTGGTGGTTGAAGTAAAATAAAGTATAGAGTCCATTGATTTACAAAACAAATAGACAAATAGACATAATTGAAAATTGTGATATGTATGTACAGGGTGTTCGTGAAATGACATGATAAATGGTCAAGGGACAAATGGCAATGGATAATACAGTTGATGTCTGTATTCCGAAAAAGATGTTCCAAAAATTTTGTATAAATTGGGGTCAGGCAATAGAGGTAGCCATGGTGCCATGTTGCCAAATCATGTAAACTAGCCTGGTGTCTAATAAATAAGCTAGAAATATAAAATAAAAAACTGACCTATTAATTTCTCCACCAACACTAACCGAAAGCATAAGCAAAAAAAAAACAAGAAAATTTCGACATAATACAACATGTTTGATGTATTTTAAAATAATCAAGTATACCAATAATAAAAACGTTTTTTTCCTCGATGATTTCGTGACGAGGCAATTGAACAGTCGAAAAGCTTTATAATACGATTTAGTCGGATGGGACGTTAAATTGCGTGGCGTTATGCTCTCGCTATGCCATATGCAGGAAATTAAAGTTGGTGCGCTTCGATAATTAAATTTGCTGTCATGCTGAGAGTATATTCGTACTTTACGTACTTTATAGGGCAGGATGCACGCTGTTCGTGCAAAAAGAATTTTTCTGGCAAATTCAGATACGACGCAACTTCCAGTTTGTCGGTTAGTTTTCGTTTTAATAATAAAAATAATGCTTTATTACTTATTGTGTGTCTATAGTGTGTCTATAAACCCATATTTCGAAAGCCCCTATTCGGTTTTTATCTTTAAAATCCTTGTTTCCGCTGCGTACGTTGTAATGGGGAAGATTAGAGCATCCACTAGACGGAGTTTCGTTGTTTTAGTGATAGATTTGCATTTCTATATTTTGTTTAGCTTGGTAGTCGATGATCTTGCCATGGTCAGACAGCGGCGTATTTCGGTCTCACATTTCCCAGTGTTGATAAAGACAAGTGTTGGTAAAGATAATTAAAACTGTTTATCACTTGATAGCCTGCAATTTCTGATGTCTGGGGAGAATTGTCTTGTCTATCAACAATCATTATTTTCATTTTTGATTTATTTATTTTTAAGCAATATTTTTCGCTAATAACAGACATTATTTTTGTTATAGGTGGTATGGTTGACGCTATGATCAGTGTGTCATCGGCGTAGTGCAGGTTGTTAATCCGTTTTCCTTCAACAGATATTTCGTCTTGCCACTAGAACCTCTCTTATGACGTATTCGCTACAAGTGTTAATCAAGATTGGTGAAAGAATGCAGCTCTGTCAACTCCTGCGGTCGTTCTGAAGGTCTATGAGTAAATCTCGTCGATTCTCACTCTCGCGCTGTTTTTCTGATAGATGTTGCGGATCAGTGTTTTGGCGTTCCCATTTGCTCCGTTATAGCCCAAAGGTAGAAAAGAGATACATTGGAATATTAAATTCGCTACACTTTTCAACAAGTTTTCTAGTATTTTTTAGTTATTCCCTAGTTCCTTCTCCTGGTATAGAACTTGCTTGCTCCTCTAAGGACTGTGGTAGAAGAAATTATTTAAGACGGTTATGTATGATGTGCATGAAGATGTTACTGGCGTGGGATATAAGAGAAACCGCCCTCCAAAGGCGAACATTTTTTGAATATTGGAATAAAAGGCGACTCTCCCCAGTCTTGCGGCCATTTTCCTGTTTTTCATATAAGAGGTTTTGCCGTTATTTGATCCGCACCTGGTGATTTTTTGTTCCTCCAGTTCCCTACAGATTCCTATGATGTGTACATTTTTATCTCACCTGGTTGCTGCTTTGATCTCCTTGTTTTGTTGAGTAATTTATCCTGATACTCTTTCTTTGGCGCTATCTTTAATTGCCTCCGTTGGTCGACGAGCTGCATTACTAATCCAAGGTTTTTTCTTAATTTCGTAATTTGGTCTAGCATTGATATTAAGTGTAGTTTGTTTCTTTAGTTTAGTTTTGTATTTGACCCAAAGTAGATGGTCAGACCCAGAGTCTGCCCGCGTCTTGGCTTTGATGTTTTTATTAACATATAATCAATTTGGTTTACACCATCTGGACTCATCCATGTCGAGAGACATGTGTGATGATGCTGATATCCAAATCAGTGTCTTCCTACATTAGGTATGTTTTCGGATACCACACTGCCAATTTTTGCATCTAAGTCACCCATAATAACCAACTGGTCTTTACTTGGTACCTTTGAGACTTGAGCGTTCCGAAATACTGTATATCTCTTCTGCTTCTTGATCTGGTTCCGTTGTGGGCATATACACTTGAATTATGTGACGTCAAGTTGGGGTTGCGTTCAGTGTAATTCTGATCCCTCGGGCACTGACAGAATTATATATTACATATTTGGAGATGTTTCTATGCACAACCAATTCTACGCCGGTCCGGCCAGTTTGTTCCATTCCCGCGACATAAAACGTGTGGTCTTCTGTCGAGCAGTGGCCCATGACATTCCAGTATTTTGTTCAGTTTAAGCTCTCTTTCGAAAACGAGCATCTTTCGAGTCTGCAGCAACCCTTGTACGTTCCATGCGGCCAAGTCGATTTCCTTAGAATCTGATTTCGCATGGGATGCCTGGAGATCCACAACTACATACCCGGTAATATATTTCACACTAGAAGGCCGGATCCATCGAAGTCGCCGGTTATCTGTCGCATGATGATACCAACAGGTCTCGTTTGTCTGTACTCATATTCATGGTGTGCTCATGGAAGAATAATCAGGTGGTTTCCCGTTGCCTGCCTGATTCTATGCCGTTCTTCGGTATTTGGTATATTCGCTTTGAGAACATATGGGTGCCCTTGCTTTATTATACATTACGTTATACCCAGCTTAAAACTCTAGGAAACTAGACATAGAAAACCTAACCAAAATCTACTTTATTTCTGGAGACGAATCTTAAATTGAAATGATTTACAGGGAGTGCTATTTAAACTAAACAAGTTGTTGCTAAGTTTATATAGAATTGACAACACTGTATTCTTCAAAATATTTTAGTGTGTGTGTGTGTCCTTTTACATCACTCTGGGGTATTGCTTTACTCCGTGCGCCAGATACTTCTAATAAGTCATCCACTGTCCGCCACATACTACATATTATCATATTATTATACTAAATACACATAATTAAAAAATTAAACATTTGACTGAGTAAACTTTGAAACTACCTTTAAACAGCAACATTTTTCAGATCGAAAAATTACTCAATTTGATATTGTGTTATTTGATTATTGTGGTAATCTTATTTCGTTATTTAATTTAGCAATCATGTCTTTGTATATTAGTAAAAATCAGTTTCACTGTAATTCGTACTTCCATTCCTTGAGAAATCTACGCCCAACAATTTATCACCAAGAATTTTATTTCACCAACGGAATATTTTCTTTTTCATCTTCTTCATCCATCTCCTGAGTGGACAACTTTCACCCTTATTTATTAAGTGCTCATGCACTTGCTACCATGTTTTTTTTTTTTAACGAAAAACTAAGTTTTTAATGTCACATTTTTTTAAAGCAGGTTCTTTCTGCAAAACGCTCTTCTTTCTTTACTAATTTTTCCACCTGCGCCCATTGTTCATCACCATAAGCTAGGGTCTTATTTGGCAGTCATAAAAAAATAAAACACTGTCATCGTCATCATAAATATGGTCGTGTCGAAAACCCATTTCTCTGATTTTTGAGTGTAGCTTTTCTTTAATTGGTTCTACTGCCTTATGGAATAGATCTCTTCAAATTTTTGCAACTCACCCCCACTTGCTTTGAAATTGCTACGTAAATTTAGCTACTGATAAAGAAACTTCTCACATAGAATTTCACCAGTTAATGATGTCCTTGTAGCAAAAAAAAATAGGATTTTGAAATTGTCTAGATATTATTTTCATCATTTACTTAAAAATCTCCTGCATTTTTAATACGATGCACAGTGGGCCAGGATGACTCAAAAAAAATTATTTAAATTCGGTTTTTTGTCGGAAATCATGTGATATAGCAAGCAAAGCCCAAACTAATGAGAAAATACTAAATTTTAAATATTTGAGGCATTTATTTAGACAATACAAGATGCGGAATCTAAAATTCATTTTGTGATAAATATTTGCACCAAAAATTAGAGTATCTGCCTTTGGATGAGTAAATAATGTAGAAAAATATCACCTTGTTGTTTTTGTAGGAACCGATTTAGTTCTGTAGCAAATGACAGCTCACTTTATATCATTTTTTTTCAAATCTTGTGTTTTTCATTTTTTTTTTTTTAATAAATTTTGGCAATATAGAGAGATCTGTAAATCAAAAACTCACCATGAAACTGAGAGGAGACGAATAAAAAACCTATAATGTAACTATTAGATACATAGGTACTCTAATATATTTTTATAAAACAGGGAGGCGCAGATGGGCAGAATTTTATTTTTTAGGAAAGTTTATGAGACAATGAGCAATGCTCGATTCTTGAGATATCTCTAAGCAAAATTAAAAAATTTACTTTAGGTAATAGAATAACACAGATTCAAGTAACTAACAGTCACGTGGAATCCAAAAATTAATAGGTCCCTATTCATATAAGTAGCCTAAACTTACTTCTATTAAGTCCATCCATTAAAAAAGAGGTATTTACTTATCGTGGTTACAAAACGGGAAACAGAACTTGCTTGCAACCATGCTTAGTGTCTGTATTACTGTTGAGGATTGTTGAGATTACGCTGTAGTTTAAAAAACAGAAACAACAAAAATAACTTTGGATTAGTTTTGGTTAGTAAGGAAAATTAATCTAATACACATCAGGCATAAATGGAAAAAACAAGGGATATTATAAATGCAGAAAAAAAAGTTCGAAAAAAAAATCAGTAAACTGATAGGTCTATATAAATAAATTTTATAAATGATATGTTTTAACTTTTTTTTAAGATATTTTCGTCTGCTTTTTATATAGTTTATGGTAAGGACACCAGATTATTGCAATACTTCAATTTAGACCTATCATGAAAGAAGAACAGAGTTGCCAAGGCATTAATTAGCATTATTATTATTACGGATAGCTTAAACAAACTATTTTAAGTAGAATCTGAATATATAATGAAAAAAGTTTCCGTCGATCTCGGTTAGATGTAACGCTGCATTCTCTAAAATATTTCCAAAATGTAAATGGATAGGTAGATATTTTCCTATATTCAAGAAGCTGAATGGTTTACAAAATATCGATATGACTAATTTACATTATAATGGACGTTACGACATAGTTCAAAAATTAACAGAAATTCAAGATTTGGGTAGAAGTTATCATACACAAAAATGGGATACGTTTTCGAATATTACGTCGTGAAACCTTTTCTTTCTAATAACTGCTTTGATTCTAGCATCCTCACTTTTATCAGCAATGGACCATACTGCGGACCCGTGCGTGGATTTTTTTCAATACGCATGTGGAACTTGGAACAAAAAACATATCATCCCCGAAGACAGAAGTTCCATTAGCACATTTGAAGTAATGGCTGACCAACTGCAAGTTATTTTGAAAGGTAAACAAACTCACTGAAATTCTTAACTTAATTAAAAGCATCTCTACTTAGGCATGGAAAGTGAAATTGATATTCTAGGTTCTAAGTCGACACACGATTACACATAAGCCAAGTGGAGTAGAAATGTATATACATATATGCATATAATAATAATATTTTGTTCTTTGTAACGGTGGCAATTGCAAGAAACAGACAAGTCTCTGAATCGGGTCATGTCATGTTTTATTTTTGAATCAAATAGAAAAATATACAGAAAAAAATTTGAATAATTCTGAAATTTTAACCCCCTTTAGTGTTACTTCAACAAAAATACTTAATAATATATACATTGGGAGGTTCGGGTTGCTTTGACAACTGCCGTTCTTGAAAAGTGGGTTAGAAGCTCAACCGATTTTGCTAAAGTTACAAATTTGTTGAATATTGTTTTCCTCGGTCTTGTAGTAGGTACTTGTGTCTTGACTACAAACTGTATGTCTTCTTTTAGGAGTTTTAGAAGAACCGATATCATTAGAAGACAATGACGCCACTCGAAAAGCGAAAACATTCTACAATACGTGCATGGATATTTGTAAGTTGATCAAAATGACTTAGGTTTCGTAATATGAATATTTTTTTATTTAATTCGTTTTTCTTACACCAGCGTCGATATTATTATGAGAAAACTATAAATTAACAAGAAATTCATAAAATTCCCCTGCAGTAACTAAAGTCGAAGACGTCGAGATCTCATAACAGATCGACGTAGTTATAGGTAGGACAGCCTGTAAAATACCTAAGTTAAAATATTTTTCAGGAGAACACTGCGAATATTTTTGTTTTCATTAAGTTGGTTAGTTCAAAAAAAGCAAAGTTTAAGAAAGTTTATACAGTCTATAAGTTTTTTTTCATTTTTCTGTAATTTCATCATAAATAAATCATGAACTGAACCAACAACCAACCAAAATTTACGTCAATAAAAATTTGTTGTTAAGTTGCAAAGAAGTTTCAGGTTTTAATATACACATTGGTTAACTTTCGACAAAATTCGATAATTTTTTATTTGAAATTTACACTGAATCATATTCTATTAGAATACTTAGGTGGTTATAATTAAACATGGTAATCAAAAATAAATACCAATGTTTGGAGGGACACAAAGGTTCATATTTATAAAAACGAAACGAAAAAGCAATGAGCATTGCAATACAATTTTTAATATAATTTTTAATTTTAAATACGCCTTAAACCAAAACAAGATAACGTGAAATTATTTTTCTATTACCTAACCTACAATTTGGAGCATCGGAAAAAGGTATAAAAAATTTCGTTTAATTTAATTTAATTTTACATTTACATTTCATTGGGCTCCGATTTTTCGCTACACTTTGTGGCAAACACTTTTAGGATATAGACTTTTATGAAAATTAAATTATGAATTATCAGTTTTAAAGCTTAATAGATCCAACAAAAATAACTAAATAACAATTTGTAACAGTGCTTAAGATATTTGTCAAATTTATTAATGGTTTAAATTAATAGAATAAGAAAAAAGGGAAATACCGAGTCGCTCACAGTGCAAGTAATATTAAAAATATCTGGGGAACTGTATATTGTACCGGGTGACACAAAATGTAGTTTTCCTATACTTTTTTATACAACTTTCAACATGTGATTAAAAGATACCAATCTCAAAATTTTAAATATACATCTCCAATTCTTTTGTTTTTTGCAAAAATTTTATTGACCATGAATTAATTAATAAATAATTTTTAATGACTAGCAGTAAGCTGTGCAATAAAGAAATTAAAAAATCCCTATCCTATTAAAGCTTCTACAAAGTTCCGTTGTAAATTTCTTTTTAACATTAATGGCAAAAATTGTTTGAATTTCAAATTCCAAAAAATCGTTGAATGTATTAATTTGTTAAATAGAAAAATCCCCTCATTTTTATTATTTTATAGTGTTTACCATTTAAAGAAAGGAATTTAAAACAAGTACTTTGAATTAGGTTACCGATTCGAAAAAGTTCTAGATTTCGAAAAATTTGCAATAATTTTTATTCTATGGTAAAAATGCTATGACAACGAAAACAATTCAGCACAACAAAAGCTCTGCCGAAAGTTTTCAAGAAGCGAAAATAGCGAGATATTTAACTCTGTAGACTAACATGTTCTAAGACCATTTAAACTCTATAACTGACGGCTCCTGTTAAATTAAAGAACTGAGGACCTACCAAGATAAGCAGTTTGCGCCACTTAAGCAATACGGTGTCACATTCATGTAGAAACGGCAATACTGCTTGCTTTGGGTGTTCGCCAGGCCATGACCAAACAGAATAGTGAAAAGTAATAAAACACCGTTAGGTATGCAAAGGGAAAATAGAGTGACCCAACGAATACTTAAGTCAATTTAATTCTTTGACAATGATTTGATTGCAAAATTATTTCTTTTTATCGAGTGCACCTTGTACCCTCCCCCCCTTGTTTGAATCATTTTATGAAATTTTCCTGTTCATATCCATTCACCAACACTGAAAATGGAAAGAAACATATTTTATCAGAATAAACATTAGACGTATTAGGCAATTTCATTTTTTATGGAACATGATACCATTACTTTTATATATCATTATAATTCTTTCTCGTCTAAGCGACTGCCGTTTCTTCTTGACAAGTAGTCGAAATACTACATTTTTTCTTCTTCCTGAATGACATTCTGTACTGGTTTTCCCTGGTGTCACTTTTTCAATGGCTTCATTAAACAGGTTTTTTTATTTTGAATATCGCGTTGAGTTTTGCTGCAAACCCTTCACCTGCTCCCATATAAGTTTATATATCTGCTAATAGTCTATCGCGATTCCACCAGTCTCCTTCCTTACGGCCTATTTGTTTTATGGTCTATTTACATCATCCCTCCAGGCCCTTGGCGGTCTTCTACACTTCCTACATTCCCGAGAAATCCACTCCTAAACCTTTTTTGGCCACAAATTCTGGTTCATTCTTTGGAGATGGCCGTTCCATGTTAGTTTTGGATTCTATAGTGTCAATTATAGTTTCATTTGCTAACATAGATCATAAAATTCAATTTCATTTCTACAATTTTATGGATAATAGTCCAGTTTGGACTTTTTTATAATTTCTTTGCTCCACAATGGAGAATTGAACTGAAAAATCATTCTTCGTCCTTGATCCACTTTATTTGAAATATCTATGGCGCTTTTATCTTTTGGGGAAAGGGTTACGCCAAGAAAGGCAGTTTTTATCACACAGTGACCCAGGTCTAGGTCCCGTCCCCAGTTTTCATAACCTGGTTGGAGTTTTCCCAGCAAGTAGCTAGAATCATCTTTATCTCCAGCTATGAGCACATTCGGTCGTCGGCCCTATCGATATCCGAACGCCACCACATTTTCTCCTCCAAGATTTTAACGTTTTCAATATAAATTTTAAACAGTAGAGGAGCAAGAGAACAACCATGTCTTAAACTTTTGGTTGTTGGAAATCTTTTGGAAATGTTTTGTGTTGCTTATCCCATTTTGGTGCACTGCTCTCTACCCTTTTTTGAATTAGATTTTTCTGCCGTTTGTAAAGAATCTTGGAACTTGTCTTCTATTCGGTTTTTCAGAACCCGACAAGCGGTAATACCTCTACAGTTTTTGCAATCCACTCTGCTCCCTTTTCTGGTGATATCAGTCCTTCAACCGAGTCCAATGACGGCTTCTTGCAAAATTTTAGTGAAAATTTCGGAAAGAATCTTCATGAGTATCGAAGGAGCGGCTGTTAATAGCTCGATGTTTATATTTTCATATGTCTTAGAACCCTCTGGTGTAATTTCCGGACCCACTCTTAAGTTTCAGTTTCGCTAATTTGAAATTGTTGTCTATCTTAAGTCAACAGGTATTTGTAGTAGTCTGCAATTGTTGAATATCTATGGGGCTGAAACCGGTCCGTATCTCATGTACACAGCTTTCTTTTCTTGAACAATGTCTTCCAAGGTGTTGTTCAATCATCGTGTAGGCTGCTCTTTTTACCCCAACGCCTCGTACGCTGCATGCTCTCACTTCTTCGTACATGCTATTTGCTGAGCTGTCGTCTTGGAGGCTATCGAGGTTATATTTTCCTTGAACCTGCTCTACTTTTTTGCGATTTTGCTCTTGTTCTCTTGCGGTTCTATAGAGAAAGCATCTTTTTTCAGTCAGGCCAGTAATGAAAGGGCCAGAATGTGCAATCTGGCCCTTTCATTGCTCTGACGCTGATAATATTGTGCTTAGAACGTTGGTTTACCATTATGTAGTCGACAATCGACTTCAGATTTCGTGTAGGTTGGACCCATGTAAAAGGATGTGTTTAGAAAAACCATTGATTATTTTCCATCCCGTCTGGTGACACATTTCTATAAGTGTTCCACCATTTTCGTTAACTGTGTCATTTATAGGACGTCCAGTTCTACCATTTAATTCTCCCAGTATAGTTACTTCTTTCACCAATTAGCTCTACTAGACTCGTTAACTCCTTAAAAAAGGCAGGGGCCCTCACTGGGTGCTATCACAAGGGCCAGGTGAACCCAGATTTTTTACCGAGGTCGGTTTTCCATACAAATTCAATAGGATTTAGGATTGTTTTTAGTAGTACTGTTTTTCTGCTATATCTTTCGCTGCGTATTTCATAAAACGATGTTTGTATAAATTCGTTATATGTAATAGTTTTTTACTTTACTTTATCAAAGTATCTTCCAATTTAACATTTTTGTTTGTTAACCAGTCGCAGCATTTTTGTTAATATATAAGCACGTCTTATCAGGATGTGCTATTCCCAGGAAATATCTAGATTTTTAAAATGGTCAATAAAAGTTTTTTAGCTATCAACGGAATACTGTTATCCTGATCAAGCTCGATTAAAGTCTCATATAGGGTAGGTATTTCTTTTTTTTTTTTCAATAAATTACGCTTTTGGCATCTCCATTAATGATTTTAACTTGTCTGCCTGGAGTTAATAATTCAATAATTCAAAAATTGAACGAAATTGAATGAAATTTCTAATTTTATTATTGTATACTTTTTGATACCCGTTATTTAATTCTACCAACTACACTCACCCTTCTTTAGTTCAGATCCGTAGAAATGGAGACACGCCAATCCGGGAAGTGTTAGATCATCTTGGCGGTTGGCCCGTGACCAAACCGGACTGGCGTCCACCGGACTTTTCCATCGAAGTCTTATTGGGACGCGTACGTGGCATTTATAACGAAGGTTTCTTAATCGAACAGTGGATCGGACCGGACGACAAGAATAGCTCCGTTAACATCATCCAGGTGCGCACAAAGTAAGAAGTAGGTAGGAAATAAACTCGATTTTTCAATGGAAAATGTGTGATCATCATTCGATGTTCAATACGTAGATAGTTGTAATGATGAATCGTCTTTCAGATGGATCAAATGTCGCTTGCGTTGCCTAGTCGTGATTATTACTTAAAGTCAAGTAGCGAGGGTGATATGAAAGCGTATCACACTTACATGTCAAACATAGCCGTTTTATTGGGTGCCAATAAAACCACCGTCAGCGACGAGCTGCAGAGGATTATAGATTTCGAAAGGAAACTGGCAAATGTAAGTATTAGGAGCAAACATTGTCAGGAGAGGCAGGCTACTCGGTCCCCGTCCATTTTGCCGCAAGAACTTTTATAATTCTAACTTTATTATTATAACTTTGTGTAATGTATCTTGTTTGTTATTATTTAGTATTTTTGTAGATGTGAGTATGGAAAATGAGAATTGAGGTTAGTCGCTATATTACTTTTACATTTAATTGGTGTTGACTAATGACTGCATTAAAAAATGATGCTACCTGTCGTAAATGTATACACTCAGTGGTATAGGTTTAAAATGATTATTTGAAATAATAATAAGTCCTAAATCTTAGATTAAACTTTAGAAAATAATCATATTGAGCTGAATTTGGCTTAGTAAAATGTCTTTTATTAGTGCGATACGTGGAATTAAAGTTGAGTTCTCGAAATTGTTATTTCTTTATGAATCAAGCAGTTCTTGAAATATCCAAGTTAAAATTGGATTCGGAGGTTTTTTGAGTCGGCGAATATGTTTACATTCTATTTTTCACACAATATGTATAGGACGTTAGCTAAAAGCTATTTATGTCATAAATTTTTGTTAGTACTCCTGCGTTACTTATTTTTGAGTATTGATGGAGTGATAATTTCTAAGTAAAAAGGTACACTGCATTTACTTCGTTAGATTAGTGAGTTTAGTATATATTTTGGTGATTGTCAATTTTTTATTAATCTCCTTGTTTACGTGTCTCTAAATTTGATAAGAATTTTTAAGAAGAATACTAGCTTTTTAATGAAGCGTCAGTTACGGTAATAAAACAAAACTTTGCCAAAATTACAAGTTCAAAAAGCCCCTTATACCAGATTATTGTATAATTTTTGATTAATTTTAACTGCATATACATTCACTTTAACTGTATACTATGGAACAAGCAATTTTGGTCGCGAGTTTGACTGAGGAAGTCAACCTGTTGCGATATATAATTTTTATTATATTATTAAAGTCAATACGACAATGGCTCGCATTCTACTGTGTACATGCTTATATTTTCAAAGTTTAAGGGACACCCAGCTACAGTTAAAGACCTGAGTCGCGGTTGGGATTGTTTGGTTGTTTAGAGATTTCTAGCGATTCTCGGATTTTTCTTTAGTAAAAGAATTGATTACAATGTGATGTACGGTTTTTATGTCGTAGTCTTTTATGTTCATTTGGCGTAGTTGATACTTTTTGTTCAGCGTCTCTAATGTATTTTTTGCCGCATATGCTCAAACAGAATTTTGTTCTTTGTCTATTGAAGACGTTGAGAGACTTTTGGACAAGTGGTAAATCTGGTTTTAACACTATATATCTTAAAAACATTTGAAATTTCGTCACTAATGTTTTGAATGTAAGGAAGGACCCCAGCGGACTCATTTTCTTTCGAGGTTCTGGTGAAGTGTATATTGTAATATATTTAATATGAAAATTATTTTAGAAAAGAGTAGATGTTATGGGTTTTAATTCTAGATCCAGTGATTGGGGTTGCGATAGTTTTATGGCTCTGTAAAATGCATAAAAGTATCGACGCCGCCAATATATGACAATACAGTTTTTCAACATAATCGCCATTTAACTAAATACATTTTTCTCGACGTTAAACTATTTTTTTTAAACCGTCCGCAAAGAATATTATTAAGGTCTCCACAAATGACACGTTTTACTTTCAAATACCACGGAACGATTATTTCAAATTTGGAAACAGATGGTAATCACTGGGTCTAAGATACTAAGAATAAGGTGGATGCGATCGCAACTCCCATTGTAAATCGTTTTCGGTCCGATGGGTGTGTTGCACGATCATGTTGCAATAACAGAAGCTTACGTAGCTTTCCAGACCGTTTTTGTGAGCATCACCTTTCCAACAAACGGAACTATACGCTTTAAGCGGTGGTTCTTCTTCAGGTTTGCTATGGAATGCTATGTAAAACGCATCTATATCAGTTGAACACCTAAATATGAACAATATTGCACCAAGTAGCCGCATAAACATGTCAAGACTTGTGTGGGTAGTCAATAACTTTGGTTATAAGTTTGGGGTAATTTAATTATAGCATCACCTTGGTACCTTTGGGCCAACTACACTGCACTAAATACTATTCCCCGATTAATAAAATTAAAACATTAAATAATTTCAAGGCGTCCTTGCCTGAACAAGACCGTCATGACACCAGCGTCATCTACCGCAAGCTCAAATTAAAGGAATTGCAAACGATCGTTCCCCAAATCAATTGGCTGGAGTACTTCCGATCTTTTCTGGACGTCGATATCGACGACGACGAGCCCGTGGTCGCCTACGGGTTGGCTTATTTCGTGGAAATGGGCAAAATCCTTGCCCAAACGGAGAGAAGGTGAAATTTCATATTCTTAAATCTACTCCGCCACCCAAAAACCGTGTTTTTTTTAGAATCGTCCACGATTACGTACTCTGGCGCCTAGTGATGTCGCTATCGGCACATATGATTGGCGAGTATCAGCGGGAGAGGGTGGAGTTTCGAAAAATCCTCCAAGGAGTACTCAGCGAAAGGCACAGGTGGTCCCAATGCGTCGAGTGGACGAACAAAAAGTTGGGGATGGCCGTAGGAGCGTTGTTCATCCGTGATAATTTCAATCACGACAGCAAAGTGAGTGAACCACCATGGCGAGCATACAGGCTGTTTCATTAAGAGTGGCAATCGGTCATGTTTTCTGGACACAGAGACAAGTGGTAGCAATTGATAAGGATGACTCATAAAGTTAAGAAATGTATGAAAAAAGTTTTATTTATTGGCGTACCAACCTTAGTCCGAACTGGAGAGGTTTCTTAATGTGTAACTATTCAAATCATCTTCTGGATTTAACTGCGTCGGTTGTTGAAAAATCGAAGTGAAATTGCATCAATTATCCTGTTGGCTTCTTCAAAGCTTAACTGAAATTGGTTTGCATTCTACTCTGTACCTGCTGCTTATATACGGAGCTAACGCAGGACCATGATTATTGATGGATTCCCATATTGGTCGCGGTAAAGGTTGTTTGTTTGTTTAGAGATTTCTATTGATTTTCGGTTTTTTTTGGTGGAAATTGATTACATACAAAAATTTTAGTTTGGCCGAATAAGATTAAATGTAAACTTTTGGTGTCTCAATAGGAAATTTATCTTTTACGGATCGAGGACGTTAAAAGATATTTAGACAAGTCGTAAATCTGGTTTTAACATTATATTTCTTAAGAACCTTTCATATGTGCTCAGTGGTATTGCAATAATCTCCCAGTCTTAGATATTGTCATTAATAGAAAATCAGTCTTAATATTGGGTCATGCAGTTTACGGAAAATTCTGCAACTGCTTTTCTCTCTAATAATTTCCACATTAGAAATTCCCTTCGTTGCCACTGTGGACCTTCCTTACATTCAACACATTTACCATTAGTTCAAAATCTCTCAACATCTTGGATTTGTCAGACATAATTCCTTTGGGGCAATAGGTAAAGAATTCATAAAGAAACAGGATGAAAAATATCAACTAGGTTAAAAGAACATCTTCCGCAATTCAGGTTCATGTCCCTCGTTTAGCTCCGCCTCCTCAAACTGTATATGAGTAGGTATGGAGTAGAAATCAGTTTTAGTTATGCTTAGTTATGACCCAGAAGGAATGCAGTAGATTTGTAAATAGTATTAACACGTCAAATACAGTATCCGCTAGAACTCTATCTCTACAAATGAAATAATTAGGTTAATAATTTAATTTAAAACTAACTTGTACCAATGGATACAATATTACTTTGTCGCATCAGCAGAATCATGCTAATTAGAAATTTTAGTCACTAGCTTTTTTTTAATTTGCTTTAGTGTAGTTTTGTTTGCGGAAGAAACGAGTGACTAAAAAGAAGTTTATCAATGCTATTATGCATTCAATTTTAAATTATGAAATTCAAATATGGGGTCAACCAACTGAGGGAAGATGCCCCTTAAAGAAGAATGAGAATGATATATTACCTAAATTATCAACAAATATGCAAATAAATCTATGTAAATTCTATGTAAAAATGTTAAATTATTAATAATTTACTTAAATTAAGTACAAAATAATCTCCGGGCACTTTTTATATTCACCAGTGCTCTTGCTGTATAGGACAATTGTACTAGACCATGAACATACCAGTTCAATCTTTCACCAGAAAATATAAAAAAAATTCTGACTGGAATTATTAATTATTCACACAGATTTTAACTTAAAAACCGCAAAAAAAAGGTATGCTACCTTCAGTAGACATATTGAATTTATAAATTAAACACGGGCACAGGTGGTTTTATAGCTTTTAGTAGACCAAAACCATTTATCTGTAAAAGAAATATATATATTTTAAATAAAGGAATTTTTGAATTGGATTAAATGGAAAAATGATTCCGGAAAACTATTGTCGCTTGGCAGGAAACGGCTTTGCAAATGATCCACACAATAAGGGAGGCGTTTAACGAGCTTCTAGCCGAAAATGATTGGATGGACGACGAAACCAGGGCCGTAGCCAAAGAAAAAGCAGATGCGATGAATGAAAGGATAGGTTATCCAAAACTTATCACCGACAGGGAAGAACTTACAAAGGAATATGCAGCGGTAAGTGGACCACCACTCGTCCTTTACTGCTTGAGATAAGGAAAACAACCCATATCTGGCGTGGTCAATTTTAAATTCTACAATTAAAAAATAAAAATAAATGCAAATAAGGAATTTTCAGTTATTTTTTTTAACCCAATTTGTTTTTTCTTATATTTAGATTTGTTGAAAATCGTCATCATTTATTGGATCTTCCTGAGGGCACCTAGATTTTTACTGTCAAACAAATTATAATGCATTTTGATTTTAATTTTTTTAAATATATCTCACACTATCCCTTTGTAACTTTTTAGACAAAGTTTTATGGAGACACGGCCATATTGAAATAATTTAACCTAAAATAATTTGCAAAATATTTATTATTTATAATTTATTTCATTGAAGAAATCTAAAACATTCATGTTCTGCAAATGAACTTAACAAAGGGCAGAAACGCCGGCAAGGATCTCAAAAGATTTTAATGTAATTTAAAAAAAATTAATCACAGAATTTCTTGTTTAGAAAAAAAAAATCCACAATCACAAGGTCCTTTTATTGTCAAATAACAGTCATTTCTATGACTTTACTTTACACTCACACGCAAAATTTTGTCGACTCAGCAACTCATTATTATAACATTACAAATTAACATTTGGTTTTATCAAGATATCCTCTGATGTCACATCATAAATGAATATCTCCACTTATTACAATTATATTATTCGGTGTTCAGTTTAGAATAATTTTTATAATAAAGCGTTTTTTATCTTCAATACCTTTGGAGATATTTCGCGTATAAATTAAAAAGTGAAATTAAATTAAGTATGTATATTTTCTGAACAAAAAACAAACGAAACAAACGTTGAGAGTAACAAATATAGAATAAAAACCATTACCAGTTATACCTATTATTTATTTACCAGTTTTAATAAAATAAACACATTCAACTGACATATTTTTAATGTATACTTCGAAGATATAATAAATTAGAACCCATACCACATACTAGCGGACAATAAACAATACAATAGAGAGAAATATAAAATAAGAACGCTTTTTTATGAAAACTATTCTACATCAAACACAGAATAATAAAAATGAGACTTTTAGGAAAAACGGGAAGGGTTATTCAATTACTAGATATGTCCTTTATTTGTATATCATCTCTACATTTCAAATTTATTTTTTTATTTGGCAGGGAAGGTCGTTTCGTTCGTTTGGGTACAGTCACTTGTATTCTTACCTATGCTAATTAACCAAAATCAACTGATCACGTTACCTCAACCCCGCAATCCCTGATCCCGCATCATCAAAACATCAATGCGCGCCATATCGAAGGTCAGTGTAGGACTACGCCGCTCTGCACTCATTTCAAAATTTATCAGGATTTCTGCTCTGGAACCAGTTTTGCTTATCTATTTTCCGGTTTTTTCGGTTCGGTCGAATTATTTTATGTGTCTAATTTTAACTGAAATATGGATATTTATAAACCAATTTAAATTGATTTAACTAATTTTGCACTATCCTTCTACAGCAAATCGATGAAATCTTAGAATAGTGCTCTAAGTCTGTCCGATTCACATTTAATATAAGAAATTTAACGACAATAAGGCTAAAAAACATTACAATTAATTTATTTAAAAATAGTTGGTGATACTAAAATTGCCTTATATTTTCAGCTAAACGTCACATCCAAAGATTTTATGAAAAACATTTTAAACATACTAAAATTTGATGCCTGGCAGAATTTAAAGAAGCTTCGACAACCGGTGGATAAAGACAAGTGGTCAACAGAACCAGCAGTTGTAAACGCGTTTTATAATCCCAATAAAAACGACATAGGTAAGAAATTGAATATTTAAATGAAGTAGGAAATAACGGGAAACCCCTTACCTTGAAAATTGATCAAATTCTAGTAATTTTGTTTTTGATAGGGCTCAATTCACATGGAATGTTAATAGACTGGTGTTATTTTTTAATAAGCATAATATATGACTAATCTTTCATAAGTCTCACATCTAACTCACTCCTCTGGACTATTTTGTGATGTTTGTCCATAAACTGCAATTAATTTCTAAAAGCTATAAAAACAATAATATAAATGATAGAAACCGATTAAAAAAAATTACCTGCATAAAAAAGTGAATATACAAAGTCTGAATAATTTAATTTATTAGATGAGAACATAATAAAAATAAAATTAATTAATATTATCGAATATATTTGATAAAAAAAACTGCGCCCCTTTTGCACAACTTTTCTGTCTTCTGATTTTTTCCGTACCTTGCTTAGCTTTAGAGAAGAAGAACATATTTATTACAGGTCCCTAAATGACAGCAAGTTATAATCGGTTTTTTACTAATATCTTTAATTACCGTTATCCACATTGCTTGCAGCCTTCGTTGACATTGTGAAACGAACAAATAATAAAAGACACTTCGTCGCAGTAAACGATAATATTCTCTTAAAAATCTTCACACTTGAACACTTCACTTAATAAGAAATCTCGAACATCCTCACAGTTTTACATTTTAGCCCAGCAATTAGCAATTGTAAACTATCAATTTTTTTTAGTATAACTGCTTATAAGTCATTAGAAAAAGAAACTTTAATTTTCTTGTTAACAGGTAGCTTTTTAGTATAGTAATACTTTAATGCTTGACAGGATTTTGTTTGCTTCTCAAGACATATTTCAGTAAAAACTTTTATCAATTGATATTTAGAAATATGCTTAATAAAAACGAGTTAAATTTTACTTCGAACAAAAATTACCATAGTAAGGTTTTTTCACCGTTCGAATTTTCTCATCTTCCTAGCAAAACCGGCACTGGTTATCATTAGCATGACTGCAGTGCATATGGTCCGATACGTATGGCATTTGACGATTCAGTGTCCAGTGTCCAGTGTAACCTAGTTATAGCAGCCTGTTTCCTCTACGACCCAGGCTGCTTCTGCTTCTTTCTGAGCAAAGGAAGTTGGCTTTTTCGTTACCTTCCATTTCACTATACCCTAGTGTCTACGTCAATATTAATACAGGAGAAAGGGCACACTCAGTTTGATTGTTAAGATATTAATATTATCTAATCCGTGGTTTGGTTTTGAAATTTGGAATTATGTTAAGGACTTCAATTTCTGAATCGCTTTCGAATCACAAATAAAAAAATGTATTTTCAGTTTTCCCGGCAGGGATATTGCAGCCCCTTTTTTACAGTCAGCATTTTCCGAAATCTCTTAATTACGGCGGAATCGGCGTCGTAATAGGGCACGAAATAACCCATGGCTTTGATGACAAAGGTGAAAAGTAAACGGGAAAAGTGAGAATTTGTATCCGAATGGTTTTTTTTTTCATTTGCAGGAAGACAATTCGACAAAGACGGCAACATGATGCAGTGGTGGAACAACGCCACCATCCGAGCGTTTCGGGAAAGGGCCCAGTGCATAATTGATCAATATTCCAGATACAAAATCGACGAAGTTGATCTCTACGTGAACGGCCGTATGACTCAAGGCGAAAATATCGCAGACAACGGTGGACTCAAACAATCGTTTCGGGTAAAATCTCCTTTTTTAGTGCTATAATCCATTTCAAAAAAGTCTAGAGTGATAAAACGACATTTAGTGGTGCAATTAAAATGCCTGGTGTTATTTACTAATTACGATTAAAACCTACTAGCTATTATCAAAGATTGGTATATAATAAAAATAAAGAAAACAAAGGAAATGTAGCAAAATAGATTATATTAAATTGCTGGGATGGTTAAACCAAATGAAAAGAATACCCTCAAAATATAATTATTTAAAGGTAAAGGTAAAAAATAAAATGTCGTACGAATAGGCGTAGAAATATAAGTCCCTCTTGTTAGCCTTAAAGTAAAATCCCCAGATGCCCAACTAAAAGAGAGCGCAGTTGCTGTTGTTGTGATGCGCATATAAAGACAAGGAATGAGTGAGGGAGGAATGTTGCCCAAATACGAACGGTAACCATGTAAGATGGAAGAAAATAATTAATAAAAGCAAATGCTATTTTTACCTGACCAAACTCTACGCATCCTTCGTGTTGTGATCTGATGCTTGCGAAAGTCTCTTGATTAATTACCGTTCATTATGCAAAAAGTAAAGTAAATGGTATTTGACTCGGGAGTTTATTTGGCCACAAGTGACTTAAAAAGTTTACCAATCGCGTACTATAATTTTTCTATGGCAGTTAGTTTTTGGGTACTTTTGTGCAAAACAACACGAATACATTCACTGACATGCCTGCAGAATTGACTGTCTTCAAAATTCAAGCCGTGCGATAATATCTCCGAAAACATACGATTGCTCCCAAACCCAAGCAGTGAGACGTGCAGTAATATCGAACTATTCAACCCATGTATAGTGGGTGGCCAAACAATAATCAATATCGAACTGAGGTGGTTTTACTTGATGATAATCCATTTATCGAAATAAATAAGAACTAAAAGTTCAGATTTTCATGAAATTAAATATTTTGACATGACAATTGTTTCGATAACACCTTGCTTTTATCAAATCATTTGATAAAGACACGGTGTTGTCGAAACAATTGTCATGTCAAAATATTTAATTTCGTGAAAATCTGAATTTTTAGTTCTTATTTATTTTGCAGTAATATCCCGCAAATGTCCGAAGTGTTTCAGGTCCGTGATAAACGAAACTCACGTGGTAAAATGACACTTTCTCGACGCTAGATCGGCGTATGATTAAGCATTTTAGAGAAAGGAGTATAAAAAAATATTAATAGAAGGGTATGGAAACGTACCAATAGCCGATATTTATTATTTTGTTAAAAAAATAATAAACAAATAATAAAATATATTACACATACATCTACATATACCCTTTTGTTTATTTCACATCATAGAGAAAAGCATTAGCATTTTATTTGGCATATCGGGATAAATAGTCATTAATGAAAACGCATGAAGCGAAATTTATTCCAAATATTCTTTTTTTTTGTGCGTTAAGTTCCTTTATTCATATTTTAGGTTAAGATTGGCATATTGAAATGGGGTTTTCACTTTTTAACCACAAAAAGTTTATTAAAATGCGTTAAATAATTTTGTGGATGTTGACATAAAGTACAGAAAATGATCGAATATCCAACACGTTCCTTGCAGAGATACAGCAAACAGCACTAAACAGACAAGAATCTAATTTTTGTCAGTTTTAAAATAGTACCTGACATTAGAAACCGAGTTTTAAAATTCATGATAACAATTACTCTCCTGGTTGAGATTTCAGAAATTTGAAAATAATTTTCAACATTTTCTCTAGGCCGATTTACGTAATAACTCCTTTTTCATTTCTAGCACCGTCTGTTTAAGTAATACTAGGACACCTGGTACATTGAGTAAAGTGGTCATTGTCTCATCCGACAAGATATTTCGTCTCCCTCCTATTAGCATATACGGTTTACTAAAACAAACTAAAATGAATATCAGATGATTAAGTGATCAGCAGTATCTAGAAAAAAATCCAAGGTTTTGGCAAACAAACAACCACAATCTTGCTAAAACAGCGCACCACGATTCTTGTTGTGAAGTTTTGCTACTACAAATCCTACGAAAAAGGATAAAAATGGCTAAATTGCCAAATGAAAATGTGGTGAAGGCGACTTGATTGGTCGGTTGTTAAGTTTATGTTTTATGAACCTTTGACCAACTCATTCTACCTGCATAAGCAAAAATAAAGTATTATTAGTGCCAGCGTTATCTTTTTTTTTGTGATGTGCGCTTTCTAGAAAATTAACGCAAGAGCGACATCTTACGATAAAATTCAATTTTATCATACTTAATTTTACACCGAAAACTATTAACGAACTATTTTTGAAAATAATTTCAACCTTGTGTGTCCCAGTTCCCAGTTGTCCCCCGGGCCAGCGACAAATTTCAATTTAAAGTTTAATAAATTCAATATTAGACCTTGTTTGTAGGTTTCTAAAATGACCATCAAATGGCCTAATTGCGCATCTATTAGAATAATGCTTCTAGAAAATTTTCTGATATTAAGTTAGCTCAGCAAAGAAAATTATCGGGAGAGTTGTTAAAAGGCAATATTTTCTGAAAAAAAAAGATATCAATTTTTTACCTGATTAGATAGTCAAGCCGGAGCAATTGCATTTCAATGCCTTTGTCCTAACCTAAAATATGGATAGTGTCACTTTCACTTTCACGTGAGTTTCGTTTCCCACGGACCCGAGGTACTTCGGACATTTCCGGGATATTACCGCACGAGTTTGGGAGCAATCGGATGTTTTCGGAGATATTACCGCACGGCTTGAATTTTGACGCTTGTCGATTCACGGTTATGTCAGTGAATGTATTCGTGTTGTTTTCCAAAACGTACCCAAAAACTAGAGGTCATAGAAAAAGTATAGTATGCAACACGTTAGGTTAACTTTTTAAGTTACTAGTTTATTAAACACTTGCTCCGCTGTGCCCCGCTCGTACCAATTGAATTCGCGACTCAAATGCCGTTTACCCTATTTGTTGGTATTACAAAACCCAATCGTAAATATTGCAGGCATATCGGAAATGGGTTGCGCGATATGGAGAGGAAGACGGATTGCCGGGGCTGAATTTGACTCACGATCAATTGTTTTTCCTCAACTACGCCCAGATATGGTGCGGATCTATGAGGCCCGAAGACGCTTTGACCAAAGTAAGATCGAGCGTTCACTCACCGGGGCCCATCAGAGTACTGGGACCATTATCAAACTCGCGTGATTTTGCCAAAGCCTATAAATGTACAACAGGATCGCCAATGAATCCCACTAATAAGTGTAGCGTGTGGTAAATATTGAGCGGTTTTAGGAAAATGTGTTTAATACTGAGTACTTTTCGTACATTTATGTGTGAGGGGCGAGTCGCGGTCGGTGACGGGTTACGGTGTTGGATCTAGAATATTCTCGATGATGCGACGTTGTCCCTTGTTCAGTATGTCCTGTTATGGGTGATTTTAAGGCTTACCTCCCTTATTAATAAAGCTAGCGTGTTGCAGCTTTCGAGACCCAAGATTCTTTTTTTTATGAAATGAAAGGTAGCAAAATGAGAAATGGCATAGCTATCTTGGAATTTTAGATACAGGGTGATTTTGAAGATATTGGTGTTTTTAGATTTCTTGTGCAGTTCGGTTATGCCTTAACTTACCGAAAAAGTGAAAACTGGTCTAGATAGGGTTTTTCATGGAGGATCCAATGGAGGAGTCAGTTTTCCTCTGAAACTTTTTGACTTGTTATACATAACTCGTTAGAGTTATTTCAAGTATAAAGTTGAGAAAATAACTTTTTTTTTAATTACATCATTTATTATGAAAAGTTAGTTTACCTGTCAAAATAAATTGCTCTGTGCATGCTAATTGATAATAATAAATAATTTATTATCATATACCCAATTTTCCATAGTTAGCCGAATAGCAGAAGGAAGAGCAGGCTGAAATAATAATGATGAAATATTATGACTTATGAGAACAGCTGTTTTCTATGGCCTACTCATAAAGTAATTTAAAATTAAAGATACAAATATGCTTTGTATTTTTAATATCTCTTACCTGTGATATATTTTTGAAAAGCTCATAACATGTCTAATGAAAATATTAAAGTACACAAAGGGTGTGTCTGATGCAATTTTTTGAAAAAACTTATCCAGGTTAGTTTTCATCTTTTCGATAGGTTAACGCATACCGGAAAGACAAAGTGTGTAAAAAATTACCCTGTATCTAAAAATCCAAGCTGACTAAAAAGTTATCCGCAACGCGCCAGATTTATGAATATAATAAATAATCAGAATAGAACATAAATCAGATCTCCTTGTCGCCGATTATAACGAACCTGAAATTTCAACCGTAGGTTACAAAGGTATATTTTTTCTTAAACACAATATTGGATTTTTACAGTTTTGAAAAACCCATTAGGTTTTGGTTTGCTTTTTTTCAATCGGTCAAATCTAAGAATAACATTTTGAAAGCTTGTGAATCCCACCAATGAATAAAAGCCAGGGTAAATCAATTCGCTTATCAGTTTTACAACCAACGAAATGTCATTAAAAATATTTCCATACAAATAACCTGTTATTAACGAGTTTACCCATATTTTTGTCTCATCCTGTAGATACTAAAGTAGTCTATGATGGTGGAGTTAAATACATTAAAAAAAGAGAGTTTTCTATAACAGAAAAACTACGATCCTTTTTTTATTTTCATATATATATATATATATATATATATATATATATATATATATATATATATATATATATATATTAACACATCTCGAGCTGAAATCTTGAATTTTAAATTACATTTGTACTCTTGTAATGAAGTCCAATTCTATGTTGGATGTGTGATATATATATACCAAAAGATATAAAACTGAACCACTGTGTTTTGTCATTTGCTAGAAAAATATTAGTCTAGAAAAACAATTTAGCCACAGATCTAGAAAACCAGGTACACTTCACCAGAACAATATCTTACACAGAAAGCTGAAACCTAACCTAATTATGTTAAATTTTTTTAGAATTTTTAATAGAAAATTTGTTTTGAACAAAAAAACACATAAATAATTAACTTCTTGAAACCTGCTAAATATTACACCGGCGCGTAGAAGAAAAAGTGTAAAATAAAAAGTGTCATATTCAGAAAATCAGTTTTTTTTTTTAAATGTGGCAACGGCGCATCGTTGTTGGAGTAAGTAAATGTTCAAATCTATGTTATCTCCCGTTTTTCGAAAAAAAACTTAACACGTCATCCACCGTGAATCTCGATAGATAAGAAAAACACTTTATTGGAGCTGCTGTTTTTTTAGGTTTTTCTTCGCTCCTTAGCAATATATTATCGTTTTCAGTCGAAAGTTTGTTGGGTACACGGTTATAGTGTGACCTTGGCAATACTGATCAATACAAAATGACATTTAAAAAAAAAACTGAAAAACACCTATCCATTTATTTTAATACAGTCACTCTATTATCCACAATTTTGGTAATCTAATATGTAAATAGTAAAATTTAATTTTGGAACAATACTCGCATCGCTCCGTAACTATTTTTCCATTTGGATGTTCTATTTGATGTATTACTGGATATTTCAACTAAAAGCTTCAAAACTTTTCCCTTGTACTAAATTTAATTATGGCGTTTTTAATTTATGACATTAAATGTTATTTTAACATTTTTAATCATTTTTATGCAATTTTGACCAACGAAGTCGGAACTTGCAGGGTTTCAGTCTAAACATTACCTCCCTATATTCTCAAAATTTTTAAGGTACCTTTTCTCTATTATTTAGCAGTTTGCATGGACCAAATTTTCAAAATTAAATGTAACGCCCTGTATATTATTATTTATACTGATTCCTGTGTCAGATTTTCTAAGAAGTATCTAGTAAGCACAATCGAAATTCGTCGAACTGTTATGGTAAAACTATGAATAGCAACAATTTGAAAATCTGGAATTAAACTAATATTGGTGGGAGTAATCCCACCGAAGAAATATTTTTAAGATGGCGGTACATCCGAACATATTGGAAATGGGTGTCAACTTTCTTATTTTAAATGGAAAACCCTATATATTCCTAAATTTCTGGAATCATAGGAAAATTCTAGACATACTTAAGACTATAATATCCTATACCTGAATTTCTCCGTGTTTGAAATATTTACAAAATGACATTTGCACACAGAAAATTGTGAATTCTTCCCATACCGAATTCTTTAAAATGTTACTCTATTAACTTACCCTGTGAGTCATTAATTGAACGTTAAGAGCAGACCAAGTAAAAAAAATTAAACATGTAGCAGGGTTTGATGGAAATTACAACTCGTCGCACTACACATTCGTTTTTAATCAGATTAATGTTAGAAACAACGTAGAACAATATATGATCATAACACAAAAGAAACGACAAAACTTCCATGATTCATGAATACGGAAGATAACCTATTCTGACAATTGAAAGTTGTCATTACTTATAGCGTCACAACTATCGTTGGTTCCTCGCCGTTACAGACGGCAATATCTTAAAAACTATAAGTTAGTGGAATAAATAACCTAATACCCTAAGCAGTCTTAGTTTTCAATTGTAAATAAGATTTTAAAAATCTGAGGTTTCCATTTAAAAAAAAATAATTTTTCCAGTTTTCTCAATTTTTAATTTCAATTGTTATTAATTTTAATTACAATCTAATTTTGTTTAACAGGCCGTTTTCAATAGAGTAAGGAACAAAATTAGAAAGAATTCCCTATCTAAAAAGTTTAAAAATGTGCAAAAGTCATTTTTGACATAAAACGTTAAATATTTGGTATAATTTAATTACTGCCACCAACATTAGTTTAATTCCAAATTTTGAAATTTTTTCTATTCATTTTATTCCATTGGGACACCTCGTATAGCTTAAAAGGACCACTGCAGCAGATAATTAATTTGTAATTTGCCAACATCTTAAAACTATAGCTTAATTATTTCAATCTACAATAAAAAACCAATTTCAATTACATATTAAAATAAGTATCATTTCTCAGCGTTCCGGCTTCGTTAAACACAATTAAATTAACGTTTTCTTTAACTGCATTCTCGCAACAAAAATTAAACTCAGCTTAGTTTTAGTGATGTACTTCCATAAATATTCGACACTGCAATATTATATTATCTTGGGACAAGTCGCTGTTGTGCTTTAGAATTAAACATTAAGCCAATATAACCCACATTTACCTTTAAATCAAATAATATTTTGTTTTAATACTTGTAATGATTTCCGCAGTGTATACTTCAAGTGTAAATGTAAAACGCCAAAGAAACAATAGAGCCAGTATACCATGTGGCACAATTTTCCAGTTCTAAAATTAAGTAGACTTACAGTTTGAAAAATCAATTTTCTCTGATTTAATTTCAATAGATATTTTTGATAAAAACGACAATTTTGTTATATCACTTTTTTGACCCTTACAAAATGATGAAAAGACGAAACTTCAGATGTCATTATTTTAATCGGAACATCTTGTAGATTACAAAAATGTACTATAACAATTATTGCAATTTATTTAAAAATATCTCTTGGTAGAAGATCAGAGAATAAAAAGTGAATTTGTGGCACCTGTTTTAACTAAGGCTATGAACAATGAACACTTTCATGTACAAAGTTCCTATTTCCATCTTGGCCATTTCTGCAAAATATTATCACAACATTAACAAAATTAACGGGACATTATCCGTTTTTTCGTTGTTGCGGTTGGCTCTGCTGTTATTGGATAGTGCGGATCAGTAGAGACAACTTATCGACGGAGTGTCTTTTTTCCTTTAGTTAATGTTCGATGGTCATATGTTAAATTTTAAACTATTTTGCTAAATGACTTCTACATACTGTCAAAATTTTAGGTGCTGCGGCCATCAATTTTATTATCTAGCAAAAATTGTAAAAAATCGGTTTCTGAATGTTACACAAAACATCGGAATTACCTAATTAATGTATTTTCACTTATTGACGTTGATCTTTCTTAATAAATGTTTCATAATATGCCATGACCTTATTTTGACCCCTTAAGATTAACAGTTCCGGTAATAATTGCAAAAAAACTGTTTTTTATTCTGTTTCACTAAGGTTCGGCCTGTCAACCAACGGAATCTTAATTTTTAAGGAATTATATCCATTTGTAATGGAGCCACTTTTGCTTTTCTTTGCAGATGTCAATAAGCATAATAAAGTATCACTTTAAGATGTCAGATCGGACGTTCCTGGTATTTTAGTCACGGTAGATTTTTTGTCCATGGTATTTTGACATTTCAACCAGATATGGTAGTGTTCCAGATTTAATTACACTAAAAACTGATAAACTAAAATGAAAATTTCTTCTATAAAGTATTAGCCATTAGACAACCAAAGAAATTTCATTTAGAATTTTTAAATAATTTTAAAAAAGATTAAAAAAAAAGTTATATTGTTCCTTGTGTCGGTATGGTGTAAGTAAAAAACACGTGTTTCCTATATTGCAGCAAATTATTAGTTCCCATGTAGCAGTCACATTTATATGTTTCTTATGTAGAGAACACTTTTATTAAAGGGTCTACAACTGCTCAATAATTTATTTAGTGACTTTAGTCACTAGTTTCATTTGGAAGAACCCAAGAGGATGATTGGCGACACGTCAGCAAATTTGCTTTATAAATAACCGATGCAGGAGGAATCTAGAAGTTTTGTAAAGATTATTATCTGTGGAACTTTCTTTGAAAACTTAAACCCCGTTTAACAGAACATGATATAAGACTGCACCCCCCTCACCGGGCAGAATGTTTAAAAAAAAACTGTTACTTTTTTTGTATATTGTACAATTAAAAACAGAGGCAGGCGTGGGATGAGTGGTTTTTGTTTTATTTTAGTTTTAAATCGTTCTTAAGAATTTTGTCTCATTCCTAGAAATCTGTCGTAAAATAGTAAAATATCTACTTGCATAGACTACACAGGTCTACAATGATTTTGATGTTTGAAAGCTGTTTGCTTATTTGCATATTTTCGGGGGCACTTTCTCCAATAAACGCCATAGTTTTGCCCTATCACGCTTTTTTTTATAGCGCTCTATATCTTAAAAATGCTATTTTATTCGTATACATATCTATGACATGAATATGTTCATTCCATGTTAGGCATGATTTTTAAATGAATTAATTTTTATGAAATTAAATGTGACTTGGCAACACTGGATGATATTAGATTTGTCTACAAAGCAACAGAGCGCAGAATCGTTACTACAGCGTTGTAACCTGCTTATGCGCAGTTTGGTTGTACCGGTCGTTATGGTACTGCGTTCGAAGACGTCTTCGTTGTTGCGTATTTCTAGTGTTCTAAAACGTATAAATATGGAAGGAAGACACTGTGTGAACAATCCAAATGACTTTTATTAATCTGTGGTAGTTATATCGTAGCAAAGAAAAAGCAACCTATAACTTCTTTTGTGAAAAATGCATGCCACGCTTATTTTGGTGTAAAAATTGGCTTTCAAGACAAGTCCTGGGACCCTCATACTATTTGTTTCGTTTGCGTTGAAGCATAAAATAACTGGCAAAAAGTTAAGAAGTTAAGCTTTGGTGTTCCTATGGTATGGCGAGCGCCCAGGAATCACAATGCTGATTGTTATGTTTGATCATGTAATGTTATATCGTCCGAATCTAATTCCGACCCAGATGTCTCAGACTTCACACCAAATTTCAGAAACCCGAAATGTTTAACCAGGGCGAATTAAATGATTCAATGGGAGAGTTGCATCTCCTAAAGGATGCATCCGAATTGTTAGCGTCCAGACAAGTATTTACTGGTATCTGGCGTCACATCAAACTTTTACCGGGATATTTTACTCAGGAAGGTCAGCTGATGTATTGTAACAATATTCCTGACTTAGTTTCAAAAATAGTAAATGTGACGTATATAAAACAAGAAGAAGGCCTGTTTATTAACTCAAGTAACCATAGTTTAAAAGGCGTTTTATTGCTCAATGGTAACGAATTGGTCCCGGTTCCCATTGCACATTCGGTACATTTACAAGAAACATATGCCAATAAAAAGACGAAGATTTTACTCAAAAACGTCTTTTTTTTAATATTTGTAAAAAAATCTTACCTAAATTATATAAAATCAGTTTTCAAAATAAAACATCTGTCAAAAAGGTTAATTTTGTAGACCTGCATTGTTATTAAGTATAAGGGTGCTTTTACACAGGCTTTCTAAGACTTCATTTTAACAGTTTTTATAATTGCTAGACGTGTCCTTTATCTCAACGGAATGTTTCTACATAATTTTTTTATGTTGACACTTTTTTTTAGGAACTTAACCTACTTTCGTATTCTGATATTCCTTATGACATATGAACGAACTATTTTGGTTTGGTTCGCATGAAAACGCAACCATTCCTTATTTTACTGTTCAACTAGATTAACTGGGAACTGCCAAATGACCAATAATTAAAACACATGCACATTTAAAATTTTATTTTACCGAATTAAACTGTACAAGAAGCGCACACACAACTGTAAGCTTAACACGTTCATCTTTTATGTGTGCATTGAACTGTATTTAATACGTGATAAAGAACAAAATAATTTGCGATATTCAATACGCATAGAAAATTAAAATAACCATTAATCTATTAAAATATTTAACTACGACTAAGTTTTTTTTATTCCCATTAAATTTTCTCCCGACGAAGAACGACCTAAACTTACTTCAAATTAGATAAGCTCTTGTTTAAAATTAGCAGTCTTGCGTAAATAAAAAAATAAATTGAGACGTTCGACGTGAGCATAGATGATATTCTTTCAACCCGAACATAAGGAAAATCAAACTAAACGAAACTAAAACTTACAAATTGAACGAAAATTAAATATGCTTTCCTTATGCAGAGGTCGCCAATGTCAAATCCTGTAGCGTTGCCTAACCTAAAAATGGAACACGGAACTCAAATTTCTCACATAACTACGATGTTACAGATCTTGTTGAAAGATACTCGGAGAATTCTGAAAACAGAATCATAATAATAATATGTAATATACAAATGATTAAGAAAAATAATAAAAAAAATAACCTCCAGTGTATTGACATTGATTTTTTTTGTTGGCTACTGGCCTTTCCTTAACGGTTTTACATCAATAAGAATCACATTTATTTAATTTTTCGAATAATGTACTACAGTTACTAAATTAAATTAATGGTATCCTGGTAATTGTAGGCGACGTTTGCTTTTCTTTAACTGTAGGTTAGGCTCTGAGGAATTCCGTTCACAGTCTTCGATTTCAGCACGTCGTTTTCGTACGTCATTACGGTCTCCTTCCCATTTTCAAACACTCTGTAACAAATCGACATTCATATATAATTCAATAAAAAATGCATCTCAGAAGCGTTTGGCGTTAATTTCTTCATAGGACGGTTCTACTATAGTGGTATGTGTGGTTGTTTTAAAAACTAATAAATACAGGGTGATCCACAAGTAACATTCTTATAAATCATGCCCGGTAATTAAATTATTAATACAAAAGTGAGTTAAATGTGTTTCATTTTTAAGAATTGAATACATTTCATCAAAAGCATTTTGACATTTGATAAAAAATAGTCGGATGGACAAAAACCTACAAGAAATAGTGCTAAACGAATAATAGATTTTTTTTTTAATTAGGGCCTTTGGAGTTGGGCAATTAATAAAATCGTTTTGTAAAAAAAATCTATCCTTTTCTGAAAATAAAAATAAATTATTTTTTAATTTATTTCATTACTATTAATATTTTCTTCATTACTTAGTTTTTTAGAAAAATGTTGCAAAGACATGAATCATTTTTTTGTCTTGAGATAACAATAATAATAAAAAATAACTAAACTAGGTGATAAAATATTCCAAACCGACAGCAAGTCAAATTATAGTCCTCGTTTTTTTTTTCACCATATTTCGCCGTCATAGCATTTTTACAGTGGGAAAACGTTTTATTGCCAACTTTTCGAAATTTGCAACTTATTCAAATAGGAAACCTTACACAAAGCCATATTTCAGTAAACATAAGAAATTTTTTAGTTGTCGGCAAAACTGCAATTTAAAAGTATGAGCGAAAAAAAATTTTCTTTTTAATGTTCTACAGGTTCAAAGATAAGATAAAACAAGTACATATATTGAATGTGGTTCCCATCAACATGAAAATTTGGGAATCCCAACATTTTCAAAAATTCGACGAAGATAAAATGTAAAGCACTTAAAAAATATATCAGCTTAGAAATCTACAATGTCATGTGGAAAACGTTTCCTTCTGTAACAGGAAAGAAACACTAGGCCAAGTACGATAGTTAGCCAACATTATTAAACATTAGTATTTTTCGTTATTGTTTAAACTCAAAATTAAACTAATTAACATAAACTGAAATAAAAAAATTGCACACACATTTTTTTAACATATCAAAAGAAATCTTTTTTTTTTCGAATACTATCTACCGAAAATAGAAAAAAAAGTTGATTGGAGATGGGGGAACAGTTTTTTGATTTATTAACCGCGTAATTCTAGACATATATCACCGAATTCACACTTGCAGAATCAGCAGAATAAGCAATAGATGCAATATCCAAACCGCGGATTGTAGCACGCAAAAATAGTCAAAATACATCACATATCACAAAATAGTTCACAGAAGGATAAACGATTGAAATGAATTGACCTTTAGCTAAGACAAATAAAGAAATTCCTAATTGTATCTTTATAAATAAAATTAGTCTCACAAAATTGATTACAGGGGCCATTATATGTGAAAAATCTCGGTGATATTGAAAATTGGCATTTTCATTGTTTGAAGGAGGTGTTGTGTACGAACAATCATAAAAAATACAAAAAGCAAAACAAAATAAACTTGAATGATAGAAATCGGCCCATAGTGAACTTTTGACTTCAATTTCATTTTTTATTTTAGAAACTACTGATCAGATAAAAAAAACGCTGTTTAAAAGACAATTTAATGTGCTTTAGTACAGTAGTACGAGTGTAAATCGATTAAAATTTATTTCTGCTTTTTTAGGTTTAGCATAGTAAAATAAAAAAAACAAATAGTCAACACTTATTTTTTAATAATGGGTATGATCCCCTCTTGCCCTAATAACATCTCTTACTGGATTAGGCATAGATCTAATCAAGTTTGTTATTGTTTCTTGTGGAATGTTAAGCTACTCTTCCTCTACTGCAACAATATACTCTGAGATCGAGGTTAGGATATAAAGTCTAGCTCAAATTCGTTTTAGCTCATTTCATAAATGTTTGATCGGATTGAGGTCGGGACTGCATGCTGGTCAGTTCATAATTCGAAAACCGACTTCTGTAATTCTATATTCATATGGTACCACGTGATCTAATAAAATATGCTCGATGAACCTAGCACTTGTTAAACCTCCTGCCCCTTGACCACGGCCGTCCCTACGGATGAAAACAGGGTAGGTTCGTGCGTTCATAGAAATTGCACCCCATATCAAGAAGGAACTAACTCCATCAGGGCTCCCCGCTCTTAATTGCAGTATTCTGCATATCGCTCTCCTGGTCTTCAGTACTCTTTTGTTCATCAGTCACTACCAAAAAGGCATATTCTGGTCTCAACTAAGAACAGAACAGACCCCCATTGTTCCAATGTCTAATTGAGATGATCCCGTGCATGTCGATAAGCTGGAGTAGGTTTTGGAGCAATTGCAGTTGTTTTTGTGGTAAGGTTATTTTGGTTCAGTCTTCTTCTCACTGTCCACTGACTAATAGCCACTCTTCGAATTTGTTGTTGCACTGGAACCGCAGTAAGGTGACGATTTCTTATTATTGTTGGCACAATAAAGCGGTCACGACGAGCCTGTTCTAGGCCACCTAGCAAAGGATCGAGTATTCTCATACCGTTGGCATACTCTTCCAACTGCTGCGCGTGTCATATCCAGTTGTCGAGCAACAGCTAGCTCCCTGGCGAAGTCCACTTTCAATTGGGCGGCTTTTTGCGGTCTAGTATGTATCAAGCTAATACAATTAAACGCTATCCAAATGGATAAAAACGAATCATGTGAAAATTCCTGTTGCAAAGCGATTAATTTAAATCTATAACAAGTTTGTTACCATCACTATAACTACTGCATGAACACGTTTTATTTCTTTAACCGTAGCTACGCATACAAAAGATCAGCCCTCTTGACAAATTTAAAGTCATACTAAAGCATATTAAATTGTCTTCCAAATAGAATGTTTATTTTTTGGTTTAGATGAACAGTTTCTCGAAAGAAAAACTAAAGTCAAAAATTTACAGTGGGCCGACTTCTATGCACGTAAGTTTAGTTCTTGGTGCTACGAAACTACCAAAAAAAAAACACTGAAACTCACTTCTTGGTGGTGACTTTTTGGCCGTTGACGAATCTCGTGGAGGTCGAGGTGCGACGCACGTTGGCTCCACTTGGCGAACCGGCGCCATTTGTAAACGTGCTGTTGATGGTACTGAAAGAACTGAAACCGCCGTGACTGCCGGCTCCAAAGAAGTCGTCCATGAAGCCGCCGCCCAACAAGCTGAACGGCGAGAATAGCCCGTGACTGCTCAACTGGTTTTGGGGATGAGAATGGCGGTTCGCGCGGTGGTGATGGTGTCGCGAACGGTCCGCGCTGCGGTGCGGGTGCAAGTCTGCAAATATTACAAACGATATCAAGTGTTTTTCGATATATAGTCCGGTTTCAAATGTCAAAAATTCCGTCAGAGTTGGGGATTTTAGTGGACACCTCAGGGACATCGGTAGAAAAGTTATTCAAGATCAAAAGTAAAACATTTGCGCTTCTCTTATATTCCTCGATAACGATAAGTTTAAAAAGACAAAAGCTCAGACATAAATTGTAGATTATGAAATTATCTATAAAAATGGCCTTTAAACGTTCCATTGTAGGAATCGCGTAAGATATGGCGAGTCAGAAAGTTGAGGGAGTTATATTCTATACTAAACCGCAACGTTGACTAGAAATTGTTATTCTAGAGTTCTCCAACGATATGCCGTTCTTACAGCCCTTTATGGTTTGGTTTTGGAATGAGTTTAAGACTCGCGCATAGTTTTTATTGAAACTACATTGTGAAATCATATTAACAAGAGAAAAGAAAGTAGAGTTCTCCAAACCATATACCGTTTTTACAACCTTTTATGGTTTTGACTTCGGAATGCGTTTAAGTTGTAAAGCCGAAGGGACCATTATTTTCAGCACGTGTACCATAAGCCAGGGCCGTATTTAAGATATTAGCCGACGAGAACTATGCCGTGCGGACTGTTGTATTTTAAGAGTAGGGAAATTTTCTTTGATTATAGTTTTATATTAATTCATATTAGTGTGCTTTTTATAAATCTTCCTAAAACAGTCCCTACTTGAGGGAGTTCGATTTCAAGTTGAATTTGCTCATTGGATATGTTGATCTCCTATATTAAATCATATTAAACTGATTTCTAATTTAAGGGTCTAAGTTTGCTGTTGGTTGATTTGTGTAAGTTGGTGAAGTCGGAGTATGCTGTCAGTTTTATGAAACAGTATTTTCTTAGCCGGCGAAGCTTTGGAGTTATTTATCTTCCTGTGTTTGTAATTAGTAATTACCAACTTATTGTTATTCAATTGTTTTTCAAGACTCAGTGTGCCACTTTTATTGAGGTTTCTTAGCAAATACTAACATTACTCAATTTTGTTTGTCACTTGCGATGTCCAGTGACGAAGAAGTTGAGATTGTGGTAAAATGATGTAATAATAAATTCAAACGGATCATTTGCACATCTCTCTTTTAGGAATATACCGACAAAGTATGTGCTAGATGGCTTGGCAAAACATTATGGACAGAGTTTTATGATGACTGTATTTTTAACGCGATTGAACTTATTTGGGGAATTCCAAAAAAGTATTATAAACCACATGTTGGCAGAGATGCTCAAGTACTCAAGATGCTTGTTCAAGAAGCACTGCATTACACAAACAGAAGGAATAATTGACGAGTGTAACCCAACTGCAACGAGATTATCACAATTGTTGATTGCATGTGGAAATTCCTGCTGATTCTAGTGTATTCATTAGATGACCAATACAAAGCTCTATATTGGCAGATATCCGCTTTAGGAACAGTTGATGACATTCAAAATTGCATATATCATATTTTTGCAACTTCACACTTTTGTCGACAAATATGGAAAGGAGAATTATCTCCAGCTCGTAAGCAAAATATGACTCCAAATCTTGTGCTTCTTCTTTTCAGTAATTGGGTGGTATCAACACAATCACACAATCGTATTTAACCTTCATAGCAGAGGACGCATCTGACAGGGAAGTAAAAAGCGATGCAACTGCGTGACCACTAACACTTGCGCATAAGTATTTTATTTTAGTGGGATCCGTAGAGAAAGAACTGCTCTTTAATTTCAAGAGTGTTAATTTTTTTGCTTACACTAATAATTCTCGAGATAATCGCGGCAAAAAACGGCGCTGGACAAATTTTTGTTTTCCCGCTGAGAATCATGTTAATTCCGAGGTCGTTCACTAGCGTTTGGTGGAAGATACACAAAGACATCATATAAAATTTTTATGGAGAATATAAATATAAGTCCCGTAACATTTTCTCATCGAATTTGCGGTTTAAGAGCAAAATGCCTAAAAACGTAGTGAATTCTTCTCTATCTATGTTTGGGTTCCTACTGGGAATTTAGAACCATCTCTTCTGAAACTTAAAAATTTCGATTTAAAAACTAAAACACACGCGCACCACGCGTACCCCCACCCACACCCCCACCCCCACCCACACCCACACCCACACCCACACCCCCACCCCCACCCCCAGAAGATTATTTTAGAAGAAAATCCAAAAAATGCGAAAAATTTACTCTTGACCCTAAATAACTTCCTCGGCAGACATGGGATTATTTAACCTAATTATTTAATTTGAACAAATTTTCAAGCATAATTTGTAAACTCGACAGCTCAGATTCGGTTCAGTCGCCGAGGGTTAATGACGATGAAAGTAGAATCGGCCAAAGTGTGAATTTGAAATGTGTGCGGAAAACATTACTTTTTCGTGCCCATTTTCGTCTGCAAAATTATTATTTTAAGCATTAGTGCCAATTGGAACATTTTATCAACAAACTTAGCGTAGATACATGAGACTACCTAAAATACTGGTAAAGAAATAACACTATTAGGAAAAAAAACAGTAGATTTTACCAGTATTTTCAACAACTTAACTAATGAAAATAACTTATAACAATTTCAATGGAGTGTAACAAAAGGTAAAGTTTAAAAAAAATTAATGGTCCTTAATTGGGAGCTTGTAAAATTGGGAAACAACTTTAACCACCAAAGTAGCTGGACATTTTTTTAATATCATAGGCAGCTAAGAAGACCCTTTACAAAAGAATCGGCAAACTGGAAATAAAATTCATAAAAAAAACATTCTAAAGGATTTTTTGATTGATTTTTAATTTCGTTAATTTTGAGTTTCGGAAAAAACGCCGCATGAACCCGCATACCGCATGTTCAAGAATATTTGGAATCTCCTATTTGAAATGATAATCTTAGTTTTTTTAGAAAAGAAATTCATAATATACCTTTGGTCCTTGAATCTTTGTAATCTATATTTGAAACATGTATTTTATTATTTCGAATTATGTAAAATTTTATATTTACACATGAATTTGGCACTTTGAATTTATATTCGACAGATTTCAGAGGAAAACGACCCAAGTGTACCCTGGAAATGTTAAACATATAACTTAGAAATATCAAACTCAGCATTTGGTAACAGGCACGGAATAGCACATTGAGCTGAACTGATCTACAAAGTTTATAAACTCATTCGTTACCGTTCAAGATATCAAATACGTCGTTGCCCCCGAAAAACTCCCTGAAAACATCTTCCGGATCGCGGAAACTGAAAAAGCTGAAACCGCCAAAATCGAATTCGTCGTCTAGCCGCGTCCTGCCTCTGGCGCCACCATTGATCAAGCCGTCTTTTCCGTACTGGTCATAGACTCTCCTCTTCTTATCTGAAATAATGCAAGGAATGCTATTAGACACTTTGCAAATCCCTCTACTGAAGTTTTATGCAGCATATTTGGGTTATGTCAACTACAATTCAATGGAGCAATATAAGAATCAAACGAAAAGGTCTCATCATTACCACAATGCATTACTTACCAAAACCTGTAATATACAGGGTGACCCTTTTTCAATGAGGTTATATGCGTAACTTAAACAATTAAGGATATATGGTCGATTAAATGGGATTTGTGAATTTAGATGTATAATGCTCTAAAGCTGCTAAGAAATATTTAAAAAAAGTCAAATTGGATTACAGTATTGCCTTAATAGCATATTTATTTCAAATTTTCCAAAAAAAAAAAACGTTATACAAAATTTTAGGATTCAAAATGAGATTATTCTGTATTTGTTTGTTTTGTCTATAATTTTATGTTATTGAAGTTTTCAAAAGAGCATCCTGTATTTTTGTGCATTTTTAGATTTTAAGATAACAAAAAAAAAAAAGCTAATTCTATAATTAGTACTTTATACCTACTGTTACTTTAACTCGAGAAGGAAAAAACAATTGAAAATAAGAATTTTCTCAATTTTGAGTAAAAATCTTTCGAAATGGTTCGAGAATAGAGAAATGTCGGTCTACTATTTTTAATTTTTTAGGGACTATTAAAATGATAGTATCTATTTATGTGGGTATTTTGTAATGCATAGCTACATTACCTTCTATTTAAATTTTCTTTTACAAGGAATCCGTATCAAATTAGCTAATTAAGGCCTTCTTATAGGAAAAAATGTTAAGCATTTTATTTAGGACCTGCAAATATCATATTTGAGATAAAATTCAAGATTTGTCTAAAAACGGTTAGACCTTAGGATAGACCGGTAGGATAAGATAATATAAACAAAATATATCTATAATTTCCGAAGGAATAAATGCAATGATGTACGGGGTGTTATTTAAAATAAGATAAGTGGTATTTGCCTCAGTTGAACGGAGCACCACCTTGAATATATGAAAAACTAACAAATCTAGATAAAACTATGCAATATTTTTTCTCTTTTACTTTTTTTTCTATCGTTCGTAGTTTGAGTTAATCGGGTAAGGAAATTTATTTCGGACACTCTGAACATTAATGGTTCGTAAAATGTCCTAAAAATGGGTGGTAAACTATTTTTTACAATAGGACCAATGTAAAATATTTCTTTAAAATCAACTTTTTGTAATCTTGCGCGTCTAACCTACAACATTAATTAAAATATAATTCTTACAAAAAATGGCTTTGCTATAACTTGCATTTTGAAAAGCACACGTTTTAGGACACACGTCCATTAAAAGTTTCTACTTAAAAGTAATCCATGAGTAACATAGTTCAACTTTTCGTAACCAGTTAAGAAAAGTTGTAGTTTGAAACTAACCAAAACCAACTCGTTCAGGTACTCAATGGTAATAAAATAATTGTCATAATTGACATAAAAAATGTTACTTTATGTGTAGATCTACTAGTAAAAGATATCCGTTATTTTCAAAATATAAAAAAGGTTGTTTAAGTGGACCTATTACAGCACTTCTCCGGTGAAAATAAACGTCTGTTTCAATAAAGCTTAATATGTCTAACATACGGATATGATTTTTCTTTTCTCGTTCCCTTTTACTTCCTTATTTATTTCGGATTATATTTTAAGTCATTAATATACAAAACTGCTCATTTATTAATAAAGAGGGATTCTATTGCCCATTTATTTTTAGATACTTCGATAAATTTAATTACACACGAAAATGCCAGGAAGTTCAGAGACACCAAGCACGTATTTCCGATTCGAGCCAATACTTCGCTCACTTTCCCATTCGAAAAGGTGGGGGAAGAACATTGGTCCCAATATTTTTATTTCGGGGACCGAACATTGACGCGGTCAGTTTTCCGAGAGCTTTTTTTGGATTTTTGGATTTTGTTGGCAGTTTCGTTGGTAATTAAAACGTTCCTGGGTAATTTTAACTTTTTTCCATTTTCTACAAAGTCCTCCATTTTCTTTGTAATTTTTTCTCAAGGATTTTTTTCTGAAGGAAACAATTGCAATATTTAATTAATTAAATTAATTAAATATTCATTCCGAAATAATTGTCGAAAACGTGTCACTGGATTTTTTTTCTGGGTGCTTGACCCTACAGACTTTCTTTGTTTCCTTTCCAAATGAAAAGATCAGAAAAAAAAGTGGTAAGAGACTGTGACCCTACCTCATCTGCACATTCTGGATCTAGGAATAGAGTACAAGTGTTTAAGAAAAACTGTGAATACCCTAGTTGGACTAGGTTCAAAATACAGATAAGAATAGGGAATAAAAATTCTGAGGTTGCCAAATGAGATTAATAACAGTTTCTTTTAAATAATTTTAAAAAAGAACTGGGCGGGACCTGTTCTTACAGTAGTATATACTTTTGGTGGTATTTGGTGGTATAGCTTGTGTTATTCCTAATTGTTTTGTGTGTGATTTTCTTTTATATTTAGTAACGATCGCTATTAGAGACGACCAAAATACAGTTTTTCCACAAGCTAACGAGCTACAAATTTTAACATGGCTAGGTTAAAACACAAACAATTGACATCCCAAAAGTCTCAAAGTCGCCCATTCCCGGAATCCTGAAAATTCTTAAACAGCATCTTGTTTTTATATTCCCTTGTAGGTAGTATGTGTGGGTATGTAACCCATTAACGATGACATTTTTGAAAATTTATTAGAAAAAAAATTGTCAGAGAATTACAGAACATGTGTTTTTTTTATTTGTTACAATATATTAAATAACAAAAATGGCGGTGAAACCCGGAACGCAAATTAAAACTTTTCAAAATTTCGCTAATTGCCTCTTTAACAGTTGCAAACAAAGGTTACTGGTTTATTGACTCTTTCCAATAACTGGAATAAAACGATAGAGCAAGGTCGTGCACTATTTCAACAGCAGGTGGCCCCAAACAACATTTTAAAACAGACATTTTGCAACTGCAAACTGTGCCAATTGTTATAAATTCGACGGAAGAGATGGAAAAAATTGAAAAAAAAAACAAATAAACATAATACTAATAGGTTTCTTGCATAAACTCCGATGTTGAATATTGATACTTTATTTGTGTGTCGGCATAGAAAATTTGACTAGTGAAACAGCAATTTTTTTTTGGCAGGCATACAGAAACTAAAATTACTGACTTAAACGGAAAAAAAAACTTAAAAAAAAACCTTATTAATGATTTAAATGAAAAAATTTTAATTTAGGATCCAAGTTCAACATATTTTTTTTTATTTGCCCTATTGCGACAACTAAAAAGAGTAAATATGTGCTTTTTCTCCACAAAAAAGTGTATTACATATTTTCCAAAAAAACAATATTGCGACGAAAGACCTTTTAGCGTTCCCGGAGTGGGGGACTTTGGTGACTCTTTAGTAGTTGTCGTTAGCTTGTTAAAAACAATTCTTTGCGTTTTTTTGGTGGTTCTCCACCATCAGAAGAATAAAGAAGGTTTTATTTGACTTGAAAAACTGTGTATCAAAATGGCGTTTGTGATTTTTCAATACCAAGCAAACAATATCTCTCTGGGCAGCCGTAGTCAATTCAAATGTAAAGAAAGCAATAAAAAATGTTGCATCTTAGTAAACCGTGATTATCTGTTATCAGTTTAGCTTTCGGTAATGATTGCAGAATTCATCAGGATTTTAGAGAAAGGAAAAAGATGTTCTCAAAGAACAGGCCATATCAATTGCAACTAACTTTCACAATGTAACACTACCTCTTTACAATACAAAAGTTTAGATTAAAAAAAAACGCTAGTTTCACGAAGAAGTTAATTGTTTTTATTTCATTAGTGTCACAGCCTCAACATAATTCGTATCGAAGAGGGATGGTTGCAAATAGCTCTTGCTATTGTCTGGCGCTGTCATAGGTTTCATTGCAGCTGCAAGTAATAGCTGCATGTAATGAGACCTTAAAATGAGGCAACCGATTTTATTTGTCTATAAACTGGATGATGAATAGTTAGTAGTGATCTAACATTCGCTTGTCACGATCAAGTATCAATTATATTGTGCTGTGGCGAGATCCTCACTCGAATATGCATGCGCGGTTTGGTCACCTTATTTACAGAGCATACATACAGTCTCATTAGAGAAAGTTTTTTACGTTACCTAAAAAATGCCTATTTCGATGAAGGAAATTAACTGCAATGGATTGGTGACTTCCTTAATATTCAAATCTTGGAAACTTGTAGACAATTTTTTGATCTTTGCTTTCGATCTTTGTTTTCATTTCATTGTCCTGAACTTCTACCTGCTATTTAACTTTAACACTAGGCAAATACGGCTATTTAGTATCGCCTATCAGATTACAAACTAAGGGTATTTTTGTCCCCTATCTCGTGTTTGTAGAGAGGCTAATCAACTGTTGTTTAGTGTAACTATGCCAAAGTTTAAAAATGAAATAAAACAAAATTATGATAGCCATTGTGCCTTAATTTTGCTTAGGACGAAACTATTTCGATATCTTTGATAAATTACAAAAAAATACGCCAATAAAAAACAATAAACCAAAACGGAAAACATATCAAAAACGATTGCAAAGTACGTACAGTTAATACTGGTTAAGGATTAATGCGAAGCTATAGAATAGCAGCGGGTTAAGGTTGGCATGGCAAAAAATATATTAAAAAAATATATATATTTAATTAGCACACGAAGAGGTTGGTGGGGAAAAAACTAACTACCGAAATAACGCTGCGAAAAGGGATTGTGCAGATCGAAATAGCTTCTGTGATGCGTTCTTGCCGATCTCGTCGCCGAACTTCTATTGCATCGCGAGTCATACAGTTTGCGTTTCGTATCTAGTATAAAAAAAATAGACAAAAAAAAAACTAAATAAAAATACGAAACTTTCGTCTCCTAAAATCAATAAAAAGAAACAACGATTTAACGAAAAGTACAAAAGGTAAATATGAGTAGCGTTTTCGTGTAAATTTCAATCGGCTGACCGTAACAAACACACAGTGGGGGAAAAAAATATGGAAACTTTTAATAAAGAAACCTAGAGTTTTTTAATTTTTATCGCGTCTAACAAATGTTTGTGTTTTTTGCGATAAGATATTTGCAGTTGGAAATAAGTATGAAAACTGTTTACAATTTGTGTTCTTAATTAATATTTAGTCTTGACTCTACATTGCAAATATCATGTTATTTTTCATCTGATTTTAGACGAAAATTGGTGGATTTATTCAAAAGGGGAACAAAAAACTCGGTAATTGCAAAGTCCAAAGTCCAAATAAATGTGAGAAATGCGTCCAAGTCGGGAAGACCTCGCAAAACTACTTCCAGGATTGATAAAACCATTTAAGAATATCGAAACTTGACCCCCGAAATTATCCAGGCAAGTTTAAAAGGAAATTTCGGAACCGATCGGTATTAAAGTAACGAATAGAATAGTAAAAACCCGTTTAATTAACAGAGGAAGTCTTTATGCAAGAGTTCCTCTGAAAACCCGCTTCATCCAGAGACGAACAGAAAGACCTGAATGGAATTTGCACGAGCTCATCGGTCTTGGTCGAAAGAAAAATAAGGTTCTTTGGAATGATAAAAGCAAATTTTCTGTTTAAATCTAATGGTAAACAATATGTAAAAAGGCCAGTTGACGTAAGGTTCAAGTAGCAAATTCCTACTATGCAACATGGAAGAGTGAACATCATAGCACGTGGATGTTATTCTCGATCTGCATCATTCAGGTACAGGGCATATACAAGGGCATAGCGTTTTTACACTATGTCTAGCATTATATTTTTATAATGCTACAGCGTCTACAGAAGAACGATGCGATACTATTGCGATGGCGATTTCAATAGAACAATGATCCTAAACACAAATCCAAATTAGTAAAAGAATGATTTGGAGAGAAAAATATTACTGTGCTTGTATGGCCAACGCAATCGACAGATCTGAATTCCACTGAACATCTTTGCGCTGCCCTTAGATCGGCATATTCGAATGCATTCTGGATGTCAAAAATCGCCAAGAACCCTTTAGTAGCATTTCTGCAGAAACTCTACAAACATCCCTAGAAGATGCGCACGACTATATTACAAAATATTAAAGACAATAAAACATGTGAATCTGAATGAAAATAATTCTTTGTAAAATAACCAAATATCGTTTTAAACCATTATATTTATGTAACGGTGCCATAAAATTTTTTATAACTGTATGAAATGAAATGAAAATAAAAAACTCAACTGAAACTGCTAGTCGACGACTTGTACAGTATAACTCGAGGCTTGTGGTCTAAACCAGCTCAAATTGATTCCTTTTCAAAATTTATTAAAATTCATTTATCAATTGATCCATAAACAAAAACATGCCTTTACATATAGAATAAAAAACCTATTCGACAACAGCAATCATCACCCTCAATCCCTTGGTGGAGGGAAGGGGACAGGTTTTTCTATTACAGATGCGCATTATAGTATTTTATCAAGAAATGTTCCGATTAATATTATGAATCGCACTTTAGTGTTATCATACCTTCGTTTTACGATAAAATAACGAATTATGCTAAAACATCAACGTCATTAAACACTGTAGCAGCCAATACAAATGCTTCCGCTACTTTAGTGACAGGTTAGGAGAAATCAAATGTTTTTCGTAGAATAAAAACCCTTAATACAAATAGTATTACATATTTTTTAAGTGCAGAAGTACTTGCACACCATCAAAATACTACCAAAAATTAATAAGATACTAAAATAAACTCACTAGACAATTTGAATTTAAGTAAAGTTTGTGCTATTCAGCTTTGGTGCTCCGATTCTTCGGTATGGACATTGAATTTGGAATTTTAAATGAAACATCCTCTATTTGATTGCGTTTTTGGATTTAGTGGAGAAAATAAACTTAAAGATTAAATTAAATTAAATTAAAGATTGACCGATTTACTTTCTGTGTAGTTTAGGAAATGTAATTGAAAAATGAACATACTAAGAAAAACTAGGCTTAACTAGTAATATATCGAAAAAGAATATTTAACATTTAACGAATTTTCGTGATTTTCGAGTCTAGATTTATACCGGGTGTATTTTTTCATACAAGAAAAAATTAATTATCTCATTCAAAATTGTGCTATACGAGACGCAATCACAAACACAAAGACAAGGTGCAATGCAGGTAGTATGAATGCTACCTGTTGAAAAACGTACACAGGTATTAAATTTTATAGTTCCAGCTTTAGCAGTTTTCGAGTTATTGTGCCATCTTTTGATATATTAACATTTTGCGTTAGAACATTCGTACGTTCCCCCCGCTGAATGGCCTGAGAAAAGGAATATGTGCCTATCGTAATAACTGAGTAACCTTATTTTTCCGAATACCCGCAATTATAACCATTGTTGTAAATTTAATGAGGTTTTTTGATTATCTCAAAAATTTAATTTTGTAATGTAATAAGTCACATAACCTTAAATATTTGCTAAATTGAGGCAACCTGCCAAAAGTGAATCTAAAAATTCCCTTTAATACTCCTTGTAATATTTTCATAATTATTTTGGTTTTGGTTTTGCGAGAAAAGTCACTTTATGTGACATATCTTTGTTTTAAAATACATTTTATTTAGGACGATACAAACAAGTAAAATATTTTGGGAAATGCCTAAAAGTTTAAAGCCTGAATAAAAACCAAAAACATTAACCTTAAGAACAAACTAAAATCGCACCGGAAAACAAGATAAAACAAAGGAGAAAACCCGGAACAGTCGAAACGCGAAAAGCGCGGCGGGAATCAGAGGTAAAAATAACGGGTGCACGGGCGTCGGCTGAATTACGGGAAACTAGAAAAAATGTACGGAAGACGTCAAACGTTTACGCAGGCAAATAAAAATTCACCTTCGGGTTTAAAATAGCACTTAAGCGAAGGAGACACTTTCCGATATTGGCTAGCGCGTTACCAGGTTTTTCGCGAAACGTTAAACAAGCCCGAGTATTAATGGATCGTTGGCTTTGCAGCTGACGATTTGCTCATAATACTCGAAACTAACGTGACATTGTCACGAAGCCCTGTGGGTAAATGTCAGATTCAGATTTAGAGAAGTATTTTCAAATTTCGTGATACGAAGGTATTGGTATATTTTTGGGAAAAATTGCGTTTAGGCGAGATCAGTTATATAAAACATATACAGAATGGTCGGAAATTGAGTTCGGAAACTTGGAGGAAATATTCAAAGCGGTAAAATAATGGTAGTAAATCATGTAACAAAAATTCGAAGTCGTAATATTTTCCGAGTCATGGCTTGTGAAAATTCTTTTTTTTTTTCAATTTTATTGTGGGGCTTCATTCTCAACGGAATTCGCTGGTATTTTCCAAACGGTGTTCGTTACAAAATAAAAGTGTTTCAAAGATCTATCAGTAGAGGACACTTCATCTAGAACATTTTTTTTTATTGTATTTATTTAGACCGATATTGCAAAATAGAACAAATTGCCTTAAGCAGAATCACAAATTCTCAAAAATTGTTAGTTTTGCTTTAAGTCAATAAGTGCTATCGTTTAGCCACAAATCGATATTTTATTCTCGGCTCAAATGTTGATGGACTTGATGAAATTTGAAAAAGCCATTGTCACAATTCGTTAAAAATAAGCTTCTATTAAAACAGCTTATTATCCTACTACTGTGATGGCCGATATTCAAATACATTGCGATATGCATTTTTGCTACGGAAGAGCAAATGGAAATGCAAATCAAGCTCGACGGCTTTTTATAGAGGCTTATCCCAACAGAAACGTTCCATATACTAAGACCTTCATCAGCATACACATAAAGGAGGTAAAAGAGGATAATATGAATGAAGAGAGACTAAGGTATAAAAGAAATGCTGCAAGAGAAGAGAGAATACTTCAAAAAAGAGGCTGAACAGCCAACGAGTACGAGAAAACTTTCTGTTCAGGAATGAATTGCTTGCTCGACAGTTTGCTTGCTTCGTTCAAAGGATTCAAGTACTGTATGAGGATGATGAGCAATTGAGAGAAATTTTATACAATCAAATTTTAGGAAAAATTCAAAATTACCCGCAAATCTAAAATGTCATTTTGTTCACTGACGAGGCTGAATTCAGTCATGATGGCATTGTACATTTTCGAAATATCTATCAGTGGAACATTGAAAACCACATGCAAAAATTGAAAGAAAACATCAGCGCCGGTTTTTTTTTAACGGATCGCTTAATGGGGAAATATATTTGCAATTTCTCCTTTGCTGGAAAAGGTACCCTTGCAGTGGAGAAAAAACATGTGGTTAATGCAAGATAGCGCTCTAAGCCAGCTAGAAAATGTTAAATGAATTTATGTTACTTAAATTAAACATGTTGCATTAACTTATGGCAATTTTTTCACTTTTTTCATTTGTAGCATACTGTTTTGAAAAATTTACTTCACGTCGCCTGCAGCTTAATAACGCTGGCGTGCATTGCCACTTCTATCGCGATATCCAGTATCACCTTTCTATAAATTAGAACTGCGGGGTATTCGGGTCGAGAATAAAAAAGTCGATTTGTGGCTAAACGTTAACTTATCGAGTTAAAACAGGAGTAACCAATTTTGAGGATTTGTCATTCTGCTTAAGGCAATCTGTTCCATTTTGCAATGTCAATTTTGACAAGCTATAACTCGGAAAATATTACGACTTCAAATTTTGGTACATGACCGACTACCCTATTTTGAAACGTTAGATCTTTCCTCCAAAGTTTCCGAATCCAATTTCCGAACACTCTGTATATTTTCTTGTATTAGAAGTCTTTACAAACATACATAAAAATTAAAATTTCCCTTCCGAAATGCATCATTTTCATTTTACTGACTTACCAAAACTAATCAACAATTCGGAGCAGACTAGCTCAGAAAATGACACATTTCCGCAAAAAAAATTCAAAAATACAATCCTTATAATGTTAATGATTTCGGTTGAACGAAAGTTGAGCGATATTTTTCTCTAGAAACTTATCGAAGCAGGCAAACTATTTAAAATGAGGAATAATGAATTTGTTTAAAATAAAATAAAATGACAAATAAGTAATAACGTGGATGTGAATCTGAAAACAATTTAATATTTTTCGATTAAAATTAAACACAACCGTAATTTAAAGTTTTAACTAATTATTGTAATTATCTCGTTATTATATGTTATAATATGTGATCCAAACATACAAACTTTGAAATTGAAGTTTTTTTAGTGGCCCGCTTTTCTTAGGCGGGTAGTGCATTACACAGCAAAACATCTTGAAAACGGTATATTTAATCGATTTAAATGTAGTGTATCTGTTTCTTGAAAACCATCATATCAAAAAAATACAAAACTGAACTACATAATGAAAATACCTACCTAACAAAAATACGTTTTGTGAATTTTCATCAATTTTATTTTTTTGCTCGAAAACGATCAACGATACGAAACCGACCGTAAAGTTAAAAGTCGTACTTTTAGTACCACAAAAATTGGAAAAAGATCAGTAGCGTACATATTCGTTAAAATACCTCCCGGGATGACAATGGACTTAGCAATTTTAACCAGTTAAAGCAAAGTTAGCCTTCTATCGTTATAAATGAAGAGACCAAATTCCAATAAAATATTTAACAAGTTATAAAAAAGCCCTTCCAACATTTCCAATCTTATATATAATCTTTTTTGATTTTTTAAAAAGCCCCGTAAACAGCTCAAGCTCACTCAAGTACTTAAGAAGCACCCCGTAGATACTAGATGCTCAATATATAGAGCAACGAATCGATCGAACCACAATCTCAAACTGCAATGCAAATAATGTTAACATATCTCGTGCTGGTCACTATGCGTTCATAAACTTCCCCCTATAATTAATAGCTAACACGATAACAGTTAAGAAAACCTAATTTGAATGGGTTAATCTCAGTATTATTGTGGTATGTTTCAAGTTTACACATGTTTCTAACTTGGAAGTTTTAGATATAACTTTGCCGCATTGCCACCGTCATAACTCAAAGGATGTCACGTACTAAGACAAAAAAGAAGCAACTGTGTGCGGAATAGTTGATGAGACAAGGATGAAACGTGTTTAACTACTCATAATATATTTGTAATTTTTAAATATTTATTAAAAATGTGAATCCGGCAGCGTTTAAAAAAAAAATTATATAACTAATCACCAAAAAAGAAAACTAAAACTAACTCACCATCAGATAAAACTTCATACGCCTCCGAAATCTCTTTGAATTTCTTTGTGGCCTCGTCCATGTTGTCCGGATTTTTGTCTGGGTGCCATTTCAATGCCAATTTTTTGTATCTAAAACAAAGAGCAAACCATTAAATTTAGGAATAATTGTCAAAAAGCAATTACTGGTAGCGTGAGTTACGAAAATCCCATCCGACGTTAAAGATTTGACTCTCGGGATTTGTCAGTTACTGAAACGAACGCCTCCTCGTAAAATGGTTACAAAAAAGACTTTGAGCATTCAAAATGATTCCAGAAAAAAAAACAAAAATATCGCACGAATTGGATATGTATAATACATAACGCCGACGCTGAGAGATGTCATTGTGTGAAGCTAATAAAAAGTAAATTATTGAATATTTTAGATTGGGGAGTAAAAAAAAATCATTTGTGAGATAAAAAACATTTGTAATTGTTTTATTCAAGGTGAGATATAAAAAAAAATGCAAATTAAAAATAATCAAAATTAGTAGTTTACTGGAATGACAAAAATCATTGATGGATAAAGTGCATCAAAATGGGCGCGCGACATAAACAAAAGTTCAACGAACATTCCCCCCTTGTGTGTGTGTGTGTGTGTGTGCTACAATGTCGACGAGATAAAAATAATTCCAGTCAATTTAACTAATCGTTTATGCAACTAGAAACTGGACAAAACTACAATGATCTGTTTCGTAATGCGACATTATTGGGCTTTAAAATTTCGTGGACTTAGCCGTATTCCATGGGCATGGTATTGTACGTATTATCATTGTCCAGAATCCCGAGAGTGGGCAGCAGACGACGACTGAATAGTTGATCTATCAAATTTTTCAAAGAAACTTGCACAGGCTACTGTAATACTTTTTACAAAACTTCTGGATTCCTCCTACGTCGGTTTTTGTTGAGTCGAAATTGCTGACGTTTCGCCAATCATCCTGTTGGATTCTTCAGTTTCAGTCAATCTCTGAAGAAGCCAACAGGATGATTGGCGAAACGTCAGCAATTTCGACTCAGCAAAAACCGACGCATGAGGAATCCAGAAGTTTTGTAAAAAGTAATTGATCTATCTGTTGTTACCTAGTGTTTCTGAGAAACTACACTTTTTAAAAATGAGAAAATTATTATTCGCAGTGTTTAAAACTCTTTCAATAGTCAGGGTCGCAAAAATAGTTCAAATGTCTTCTAATATTGAATAGTCAACAATATACCAACTTGTGCACGAGGATAAACGCGGCCCCATCAAGTCACCAAAGCGAGGTCCAGCAATAAAAGAAACTGCAATAAATGAGAAGCCATTTAAAAAATAATACACTCGTTTTACTAAAAAAAAACCAGAAATGCCTACACTGGACAAAATAATGTCTGAAATGAAAGATGATTTTATTCCATCCGTGTGTAATAAGAATTTGTTGAATTGAAGGAAATAAGTTTTCCTTCCGAAAAAATCAATACAAAAAAGTCACTCTCAACAGAGAAACACTGTTCTTCTTCTTGATGTGATATATCCGTTTTCTACAGAATGTCAGCAATCACGCTGGATATCAATACTTTATTTACCGCTGTCCTGAACAGCGTATTAGTTGATTGTACGAACCACTGTAGTAGGTTTTTCAATCAAGATGTTCTTCTTCTTCCTGGGCATCGTCTTCCGTCAATCTTGCCCTGAATAATCAATCAAATGCTCGATGTTGAATAACACGGCCGAAGTATTAGAGTTAATATTGATGTTAGCAATAGTCTTTTAGTTAGTTTAGTTAGCAGACCTTGCTCTTGCTTGTTCAATTCTGGTTTTTATTTCCAGTGAATGGTCCAAGTCCTCGCTTAATAATTGTCCCAGATAATTTAATTCGGTTTTTAGTGACAGCCATAGGTTTGGTCCTTTTGATGTTAAGTTTAAGACAGTAACGGTTGCACTACTACTTTATCTAGGAGTTTTTGAAGTCCTTTAAATATTCTCTGCCAGTAGAACGGCATCATCTGCATATCTTAGGTTGTTTATTAGTACCCCATTTATGTTTACTCCTTTTGCATATTTTCTAAAGCTGCTTGGAATATTGTCTCTCAGCATAAATTGAAAAGCAATGGTGACAGAATGCTCCTTCTTATTCCTCTTTTAATTGAGATTATTTCAGTCATGTTATTTCCTATTATATAAAGGTTGGCAATGATTCTCAAGTCCTTGTCATTAATGCTTGTTGTTTTTTGTATTCGAATAATTCAACTATTTTTAAAATGAGGAACGTGGAAACCTCTTGCAAGAGGGAACAATAAAAACAGTGGATTGTGATTGGAACAAGTGCGTCGAATATGCGAATGAAATGGGAGACTGGGGGAAGCTGACATTATGCTAGAAAACACTCAGAGCCCATTATTATTTCTCTGGACTCGAACGAATATAATTCATCTGACTACTCGGAACATGGTGACTAAAATTAACAAATAAAGTTGTATTGTGAATAGTAGATTTGTTTAAAATCATCATAATTTATCCATTTTTATATTATTCCTACTTCTACAGAAATTTTTATTTACTTGATCTCAGAATCTCTAGAATTGCAATCACGTATAATTATTGTTATATTTATTAGTCTAATAAATTACCTGTTGAAACTTATCTAAATATTACGATAAAGTTTAATTTTCCCACCCTGCTTAATGATCATTGTGTTACCTAGCGCATTTTATTTCAAGTAAACTATTAAAATAATAAAAATAATAATTTAAAAAATAGAAATTTGGAAAGTTGTAAGCTTTACTAGAACTAGAAAAAATGCATCCAAATGAGCGTGTTTTGCAAGGTGGAAGTCATAAAAATAAATTCAGCCAATTTGACTATGAAAAATAAAGAAGTTTATATCAAAGTGTTGCATACTATACTTTAACTAACATCGTATCGCTCCAAGCAAGTTACTAAAACACCGGAATGATTCGTTACCCAAAGTGGGTAACTCTTTATACGTAATACGTCTCGAAAGTGGCACTTTCAGGTGTTTAAAGATAAGGAATGCGTTGTGTAAGAACTGGATAATACACCTAAAGCCGGAGTAGATATCTATACATTTTAAAAGTTATATACTTTCTCAATAATGAATATTTTTTCAAGAAATTTCCACATGCTACGGGCTATTTACAAACGTTCTAGATTTTTCCTGCGTCGGTTGTTGATAAAAATCTCTCAACTTCGATTCGCCAAAAATAAAATTCCGTTTGAGATACCAATTTACAGCGTTCCATGCATATGTGGCAAAGAACACATTGGAGAAACAGGACGGAATATATTAACTAAGCTCAAAGAACACGAAAGGGCTTCAAGACCACATCAAATCTTATTCGATAAAACTAAAATTCTTGCATATATTAGACATATATAAGTCAATAAGAGAATCAGTTATCTGAGACAATATTCATGTCCCTCCTTTAGCTCCGCCCCCTTCAAAGAGTATATAAACAGGTACAGAGTACAATGCTAGCCAGTTTCAATTAAGCTGTAAAGAAGCCAACCGGATGATTGGCAAGACGTCATAATATTTTTCTTTTGCCTTCCAATGGGTTTTCGGACAAATATTTCACAACTCATTAGTTTTGTTATAAAGAATAAAATAATAATAAAGAATAAAATAGCACTTTCAGGAATCAAACTATTATTATTAATTATTCCCAAGAAATAGTAATAAAAAGTTTTATTAAAAAAACATTTCGGAAAGTTCTTTTATTAAATAATGTTTCATAAGCTACTCACTCTAGGAACTTGCTTACAGAATGTGATTCGCATGTGAGCTCGATAACACGTCACTGAATGACATCAAAATGGTTTGCTCGCCTGAATTCGTTAATAAACGTATCAACCACCACAAAAGCGCAATTCAGTTTTCCATCAAAAGAAATGTTTTTTTCTTTTGCGTCCGATTTCGATCAACTTTAACCAATTGAAATTTCCGTAATCGGAGCATAACCGCCGCAGTAACCACCGACAGTTCGTTGGCCAGGTGCTTGGAACATCGAAAAGGTTCAGCAACTCGAATCGCTCTCTGGGTCGAACGGCTTTTGCCATGAGTAAAATTCTTCGGAAATCAACAAAATCACACGGAACAAAAAGGTTTGTTCATGGAGAAAAGTAAGCTTAGAAAACATTGTTTATATTAAATGTTTTTTTATGCTACCAAATAGGGATTACGCCAATATAGCCGTTAGTTCATCTCAATGATATTACCATATCATATTGCTATATAAATTTATTTATATATTTTTGTATTTACATATTTACGGTTTAACCATTTTACAAAATTTTTACATTCATATTAAAGGCAAAGAGAGAAAGACAGCAACAACTAGAAACTAGAACAATATGCAACAATAGAAATAAACAGAAGTAACTGGCAGCGCTCAAACGCAACACATCAGAACGAAGTGAGCGGAGGCTGCCGACAAAAGCTTTAAACAGTTGCACGCTTTCAGCATTCTAGTGAGGGGTGAATATAAACCCCATAATTTGAGCGATGGTAATGTATGCGGAACATTGAGTTATCACAGCTTCTGTGATATGCGTTAAATTGTATGCTATGTAAAAGAGCTGGACAACAATACCAACCATTCAGAATCTTAAAGAGAAAAACTAAATCACTCTGAGATCTTCTGGCTTGAAGAGTATCAATATTGAAGGTCTTAGCTATAATACTGTAGTTGATCTGATACCCATTATAGATATTAATATACGCCTTTGAAGTCAAAGATCTTAAAAATGCTTTCTGAACGGCTTCGATGTTATCTATATGGCAGGCCTAATATGGAGACCCCACCACAGATGTATACCCTAGTCTAGAGCGAACCAAAGAGATGTAAAAGAGTTTAAGACAATGTGGAGTAAGTTGGCCAGTATTGTTTACTATTTCAGCAAAATGTGTCACAAAATTTAGTTTAGAATCGAAGCAAACACCCAAGTCTTTAATACTAGTGACGGCTTCGATCACGATTCCATCAATGCTATACTGGTTGTGAACCATACTCAACGAACGACTGAAGCTAAATTGACTGACTGAAGCTGAAATTAAATAAATATTTAGTAAAAACAGGCACATAATTATTGTTGTTTA